TCTGTTTATCGATATGAATAGGGAGCTCAAGGGCGAAAGCTCATTCCCTTGATAAACTGACTTTATGGCGCACAGGTGTTTTTGGAAACGCCTCCGACCAGATTCTAGGTGCAAGACTACACGTTTGGATACATTAAACGCTAGAAGCCACATGCTGGACCATGCAGCCAACTTATCAACATCTTCTTGTAGTTTCTGCGCGTCGTCAACATAGCTGATTATTTTCCAGACCTTTGTATCATCTGCAAACATGATGGCATCGCATTCAAAATCTATAATACAGTCCTTTATATAGACTAGGAAGAGGAGAGGACCCAAGGCCGAACCCTGCAGAACGCAGTTTTCTACTGACACCTATTCGAATGCAGTGGTACTAACAATTACTCTTTGGAGGCTGGATGGCAGGAAACTGAATCCATTTAGAAGTGTTGCACTGTATTCCAAATTCCCAAATCTTCTTTAGGAGTCGTCCATGAGAAACGTAATCAAACACCTTTTTGAAGTTGAAAAAGATGACACCCACTAGACGACCCTGGTCTGTGGCTTTTGTCCGTTTTTCCTGCGAGTAAAGACCACTCGTAAAACATGAGTGACCGCAACGAAATCCGTGCTGAGCAGCACACATTAAGTTCCTCTGCTCCGGATACGTCATTGAATATCCCTTAATAAGTCGTTTCATGACCTTGAACAGAATGCACGTTAAACTAGCAGGACGGTACTTTTCCGGCTCCAGCCTGGGCCTTCTTTTGTAGATTAAAGTAATAAAAGCAGTTTTCCACTCCTCCAGCAGTTCACCTTCTTTCATGGACTTTTGAACCATCATGGACACCGCCTCGCACAGACCGTCAGCCAATTCTCAAAGGGCACGTGAATGAACTCTATCCGGAGCGGGGGATTTGGCTGATTTCAATGGACGTAGTTCGGTCCTTATCAACGTGGGCGAGAAGTAAAGATTGTCTCCTTATGCAAACCGTGAAGGATTTTGTTATTCTTCTGGGAAAGGTATAGGAGGGGGATTTTTTTCATGAGTGAATACCAACTGGAAGAAACTGTAGAAGACCGATGCTTTCATTCGGTCATCCGTCTCACTTACTCCGTGTTGGGACCTCAACGCTGGAACCTGGTCCCGATTTCCTTCGTCACTACGTATGTAACCGTAAAGAATTTTAGAATGCTCTAAAGAGTTTTGCAATATGCATAACTTATAGTTCCTTCGAAGTTTATTAGCCTCAAGTTCTCACACGTTCCGCTGTCGCTTGTATTCCTGCAGATGTTCAGAACTCTCTGTCAGTCGGTAACGTCTTTACATCTTATTTCTCCTCTTAAAAGCGATTTGTAGTTCCCAGTTTATACATGGCAGACGAAAGCTTATTTTCCTGTGTCTGAGTGGACAGCTTATATCAGTGATTCTTTTACCAGTGAGCTGAACGTGCTCCAGCAGTCGTTATCTGTTCCCGCAATGTGGTTGCCCACGGTATGGCTGAGACGTGCGTTCGCACGCCTAAACAATCTTCCTTCCAAATATTTGTTTCCGATTGTTTGAGTAAATCGAGTTGGAAGAACATGGAGTACTCGAAGAGCGTCACAATATGATCCCTGACACCAATTGGTGGGAGATCTTGTACATCCCGCACATTATCATCGTCTCGAATGAGCACCAGGTCAAGGCAATTTGAACATTGCCCTTCCCTAACATGTGCTCCGAAAGTTACATTTTGGAAAAGTAGTTTGTTCGCTGCCAATTTAAGCAAATATTGTCCGAATATGTCCGATGGACCCGAAACCATCTGAGCTTACCAGTCTCCAACAATAAGTACGTGTCTGTTCCGCTAGGAGAAGGCTACCGTGTCCGGATATCTGGTTTCGGGGACGGTATACAACTGCAAACGCCAGCGGCCGGGCATATCTAGTGAACATAGTTAAAAATAAGAATTCCACTTCCGTTGTTGTTGTGGTATGTTCCTCAGGGACCGCGGTTAGGTTGTAGCTAACATAGATAACGACTTCTACTCCTCCTCGGCTTTTCCTGTCTCTTCTAACTAGTTGGTAACCTCTGAGGGATACCTCATGATCTCAAAAAGCTTCCAAAAGCCGTTTCTAACAAGGCAATGATATCTGGCGTGTGCTCGTCGACCAAAGTCCTCTTGTTAAGAGCGCTCTGTACATTCGAGTATTCTCGGAGGGAACCAGCCCTAATTACAAAAGGGGGTTTGTCACATGAACGATTGTTTAATCTGTACTATCTCTCCTTTACTTACTTTCGGCCCTTTCTCTCCCACTTCTGCTCTCCTCTTCAGTTCGATACAGAGCTTCCTCGTTTTGTGTCTTTCTGCCGGTTCGTAATCCGGCTGAAAAAACGCCTCCTCATGCGAACGGCAAACAGCCGTCCTCCCTTCTAGATGTGAAGCCTGGACTTCATTTTCAAGAATGATTTTGGGTGGCCTTGGTGATGTCAATCCACGCGACGCATCTGCGTTTCCTAGACGGAAAGCTTTGTGCACGGTAACACATTCTTCGTCGTGAAAAACGGCATTTTAACATGCTCAAAAGAGGTTTAGATCGTGTTCGATCCTTTTTTGCAATCTACGAAGTGGACACAGGAGCTGCCTTTATGAAGATATTTCGTTTTCGGCCAAGATGCCTGTTTGGTGACTCAGGCATATGTTTACGACGATGCCCTTGATGCGATCAAGTAGAGTGCCTTAACGTTTATTTTTATCCACGGGGTCAACATTGTGCCAATCTCCGTTGTCATCATCATTTGATTCAGAGACAGCTGTCATGACATGGCTACCGCAGGGCTCCTCACCCACCGAGGCTTCTTAGTCATGCGATGCATCCTTCGGCAGCGCGGTTTTTGCTTGCGTTGTGTGTAGACTGCTCTCTTGCTCTCTCATGCTAACAATGAGTTTCTTCGTCTTTTGGGATGCCCTGGATGGTTCTGCGTTTTCTTGATCCTTTCTGTCGCCCTTTTATCGCACAAGAGGTCGGTTCTCAGCTGTGATAAGCTCCTTAGACGAACTATCTTCTTCCTGAGCGGCTGACACAGTTAATGAGATCGTGGTTGAATATAGACTTTTTGTTTTCTGAAATTCTGACGTCGCCGGCTTTCTCTTTTCGCGCGAATGACGGAGAAGTCTCACCAACTCCTTCATCTCCATTTTTAGGTCACTTATCTTATCTTCCATCACCAAGACTTTCTGGAGAAGTCTGAAACATGCCTAGTAGTTTACATCCATTAAGGTTACTAAACTCTTGGCCCGCTTGACGAGAGGAAATCTGATAGCGGGAAAGCCGACACTGTATTTATTTATGCAATTTACATTGTTTATTCCATCATTTTTTTCTTGTGGACCTGCAGAAGCACATTGACAGCTGTCATTTTTCGTGGCCCCATGTGTTAAGTAATATTTACTTCGTTCACATGTTTCAAAAGCAGTGAAACTAAGCAGACATCAGCTAGGAACATTATCTTTGACAAATTAACACCGCGTTGGCTTAAGCATAGTCCGAAGGCAGTGGTTAGTCCACCCACCGTTGGATGCTCCGCTTTGAGAAACACGTTATTTGCCCGCCTCCGTTCTCCTTACCGTACGACATTCCTTAAAGTCACTTTAGCTACCTCCTCCCAAGACTCCATTTCTGTTCCAAGCTCAATGGTACTGTTTACTCTCCGCGCACTGATTCATTATTTATCTCCGGTTCTATAACCATTGATTAAGATTTTTCATAGGGATATGATGTCGTGTCTCCTTGATTTTAATGGTTGACTTGCGTCAGTACAAACCCTGGAATCTGCGAAGACCCTGACTCAAATCTGACAGTTGCAGGACCGCATAGGCTCTTTTGTGCGTCACGGGAGCCTCAGCATTTGGCAACGATTATCCGTGTACAGTCTGTCCCATGATTATCAAGTTACTTCGTTTCATGCAGACTTGGTAGAAATTGGATAATTCTCTTCGTTTAGTCATTGCCAAGCGGATGTCACCCTTCTAGCTGCATTGACGTTTCTGTTGGCGTTTGCTGGAGTTAGGTAGTGCACTTTGACTACACAAACGTTGCTTAATGTATACTTCCGTCTCAATTTTAACTAGGGAACTCATTATTGTCTTGTAACCTACGTGACAAAGTGATACTTAGTTGAGTAGGCAAGAACGACAGGAATTATTGGCACCAAAAAATTTCGCGACTGCTCTTCAGCTGCTTCCTGTCGCTTCATAAGAGGGATAACGAGTGAGAACAATACAACAGATTTGGATTCGTGCAGAAAATCGATACAGAAACAGCAAAGTTAGGGTTTTGGGCAAAGTTGGCTAATCGATAAAGTTAGTAACACAAACGCCGTAGGGGAAGAAAGTGCCGTTCTTGCCTACTTCAGCTTCGTACCGGGGACAAAATGCTTCAAATTTTGATACTTAGTTGTAACATACTTCCTATGCTAAGAAATTTAAGGTAGTAAGCTAAGTCAGAGGACTAAACCTCGCACCTACCACTGTTCATGATAGACTAATCTTCCGAGATCGATACCTCATGCGGGTCACATACTGGCATAAAGGAAGATGCTTCGAATAAAAACCTCATCTCCATCTTCCTGGTCAGTTTTTTTCGCCAACTCCAGTATTGTCATGACTTCCACACGTACGCTCTTCCAAGCTATTTTTCTGTCAGACATAAAATGTACCCTTCGTGAAATGTTTGCGGTCCCCCCTGCAGCTACTTCATAGGTTCGGTCCCTTCTAGTTCAGCAGTAGAAATGCAGCCAAATTCCGGTAACCCATACTTTTTAACCAACAACTGCAGCTGCCAGACAACCATAAACATGCGCAGTTTTCTTTAGCCTCTATGAGAAGGAAGCGGAACAGCTAGGATACATTCAGCACTTACATTTAGGTGAACCCATGCGGAAAAATATTAAATACGCGAACAAACAGCGAAAAACTATGTTAATTTGAAATCTAGAAAAGTGAACTACCAAACTATGAAAGACACGAAATAGAGCTCTAAAGAAAGAACATGGCATTTTGCTGGCTTGGATTCAGTCGAAATTTGTTATTTTGCAGAATCTCCTCAGGTCTCGGCGTATCCTTCAGCCAGTCACGAGCCCGAAAAGCGGCAAGGTGCGAATAGAATGTGGGGGCCGGATATGAGACGCTGCGACAACAGCGCATATAGGCGTGGCAGAGATAGTAGGTGAAACACTGAAGAGCGTCCGAGCTCCAGTTGTTGTCATCATAGAGGACATGGTAGTGCGCTGGCTTTGTGGTACCCTGAAAAAGTGTTTCAAGTTAGGTTTCTATTTTGGGCCAGAGAAGTGGTCAAACGGTCCTACTTCTTCTAGTACTAATATGACAAAAGCTGTTAGGGGAACAAATAAACACATAGGAAATAAATTATAAAAGTTGATTTTGGAGAATTTTTGGCTGTCATGGGTTCGGAAAATGTTATATTTAGGGTACATCTTATTCTACACCAAAAAGCTGGTAATAAAGAGAGTTTGTCTTCCGATGAATCTTTTTCAAGACTTTTTTTAATGATGCTATTAGTTGACTTAGTTAAAGTGTCTAGTCTGAACTCTCCAGGAACTTGCGTATGGATCACAAAATGCACCCACACGTGTGTCCAAAAAATGACTATATGAGAAAGGCTAAGGGTAAGCAGTAGGGAAGTCGCCGACAAATGCCAATGACAAAGTAAATAACTTAACAGTGACCACCTCTACAAGCAAGTTAGGGCTTTCGGAACTTTATTTTCTTAGGTCTATGCACATACGTTCCGTCTATGATTGAAATTACAATGAAATACACTGCCTGCAGAGAATTCTGAGTTCAGTCTATCCCCAGAGCTTCTTTGAACTAGCTGATGCCCACGTCGGCTTACTGAAAAGATACGCGAACCAGAAACCAGGGGAAGTGTTAATACAACCAATTGAAGCCCCAGAAGAAAGAAGTCCTAAAGGCAATTAGGTAGTTGCTCTGTGACAACCCTCTAGATGGAGCAGACCCTTAACCTCAAAGTCTCCCCTCTAAATGTGAAGGAGTCTCTCCCCCCCTACTGTCGACTCCGGTAGGCTGCGAAGGCTGACACAGGATTCAACGACTAAAAGGCAACTGTAGATGCGGATATAGGAGCAGAACTGGCGACGTAGTGGCCCGAACGTGTGCGGCGCTGTTACGTCAGACGTAAAAGGAGCAAATTATTTTGCCTAGAAGTCTGTTCTGCGCCAGCTGATGAATCGACACCTCTCACTCACAAGAGACGGCGCACAATGCCTTATCAACCATTTGATCCAGTCTCATCTCCAGTCAGCTTACACTGGTCCTGCGACTCACAAGCAATGGCTGGGAGAAGAGGATGAAACCGATCCTGCTCCACTTTTTCTTTGTAGGCCAATCCAGACGCCTTAGATGTCGTCAATTTGACGGTTATCACCGGGCGAAATACGGTGCATGACCGATCTCATGAAATGCGGACTGAAATTCTCGAATGCGTTTTTGATTGGGAAGGATTACTTAGGTGGGACTGTATTATTGCTCATCATGCGGCATAATTCTATAGTACTTCAGACCTGCTAGGATGTCGGCCTTTGAATGCACTACTTCCCGACCTCCTGCAGAAACTACACTCGGTAAAAATGACTACTTAAATAGCATGCATTTTTCGTATCGATTTTCGATGATCTTGTAAATTCAAATATATTTTACAGAAATCATGCGCAAAATAGACTTTCTTTTACCCGTTTGGAAGAAAATAACATTAGTTTCACATTTTATACCCGAAGAAAGCGCATTTTTGGTTTTGAAAAAGGTTCCCGATTTCCACATAATTTTGAGTCAGATCAGCCGTTGTTTTAGCGTTTAGCGGTTGCAGTCCACAAGGTACATGCAATCAACGTATAGAAAATCATATATTCCTCTATGATTTTAAGAAGATAGCATGTAAAGGTTATTAAAATTTTGTAATGGATGCTGACTGTATTGTACGTTTCATGAGAAGCACGGCTAAACGGGCATGTGCGATGCTGTGTGTATGGACATCGCACGGTCTTAGAACTTCATAATTAGAAACGTTCTTAAAACCGAAAGATACCATTTCTTTGAGTACTAAATGCAAGGATATTGCTATTTTCTTCCAAACGAGTAAAAGAGGGCCTATTTTGCACATGGTTTCTGTAAAATATATTTGAATTTACGAGACCATCGGAAATCAATAGAAAAAATGCATGTTACTTAAGCAGCCACATTTTACTGAGTGCGGTTTATGAATGAGGTCGAAAAGAAGTTCATTCAAAGGCCGACCTCCTGGCAAGTCTGAAGTACTATGGAATTATGTCGCATGATGAGCAATAATACAATCCCACCTAATTAATCCTTCCCAAGCAAAAACGCATTTGAGAATTTCAGCCAGCATTCCATGAGATCGGTCACGTACTGTAAATCAGTTCTCAAACTTAAGAGTACGACTACAGCCATTTTTTCTCTTACGATGCTTTAAGATTGCTCTCAAAAGTGGATGTCCGTGTCAGATCCGGTCCGTCTTGGTCAAGGGAGCAGAATATATGGGGCATAACCAAGACGGCCACTACTATCGAGCTCACCCCTACTCGTGTGGTCATAGTTTTCTCATCAGGGTCGCTGGGTGTGGGATAAGTGAGCTCGGTGGCACGCACATTTTATTTCCTGATTTCATCCCTATGTAACGCATCCCTGACTTTTCATGAGATTTTCCCTCGGAAACTACGCAACTGACTGTATTTTATGCTGATTGTATATAAGTGCACTTAAAATTTTATATGTACACGGAAAAGGCCGCCTGCCGCACCCTTCGCAGTCCAGCACTGTAAGCACTTTTTCCACAAACTAATATGTTACTGGAAAAATTTCAGTACGATGTGCATTTAACATTTATATTGTACGCACCGTTTTCAATAGGGTCATCAAGGGCATTGCCTACTACTCTAAAACATACTATACTATACTAAATATTTCTCCCCATAATGCAACTGCATGCTTACGTCTCCACTCCGCCCACCTCGGATAATGCTGAACCTCATCTAATACAGCAGGCGCACTTTTCGTGGAAGGTCGAACCAAACACCACTGGTGACAACCCACAACGAGTAATTTTAACCCAGCCTCGACTTCAATGCAGTTGAAGTCGTGAAACGAGGTGAATTTCATAGGCTGATAGTGGTTTAAGAGACCTGGTCGTTCGCCTTTACCCTATCCTGTTCTGTGTCACCAGCTGACAAAGGCTCAGATCTAAGAGAAGGCAAAAAATAAAAAAAACAATCATAGGCCGAGATGATAAGGGGTACCTGTATGCCTTCCTGAGAGCAGAGATAGAAGTCGAACTCTCGCGGATGCGTCACCTGTTGGTCAACAACGGTTCCTGGCTCCACATTGCGCATTCTACGTGAAAATTCAGTTTATTACGCATAAACACGCCGCTTACCTGGGATCCAGGGGCTGAAACCGCACATGATGACGCTTTTGTACGACAATGAAAGTAATGCCTGGTTCATAATCCTGCCTCAGGAGTCTGCAAGCCCGTTGTATGGCAGTCAGCTCGGACACCAGAATGGACTGAAACTGACCCTCCGAGACACCGTCACGATAGAAAATTATTCGAGTTGGAAGTCGGTTATTGTTGAATTGCCCAAAAGCCTATCAGGGGGGTGAACTCAATATGACCTGCGACACGACAGTGCACGACTTAAAGAAAATCAAAAAACTATAGCTGTCACTTTTTCAAACCAGTTATTGATGCTGGTCAGAGAATCCAACTTGTCTTATCTATGTGCCGTCAGTGGAAATAAACGCTTTCAGACTTTAGTTAGCTCGGAATGTTAATTTTTGAACACTAACTAGCCTCATTAGGTTAACTGAAAGACGCGTAAGTATTCCGCGCTTGTGAAAACTGAAAAGTATCTGCCAGAAGACGCGCAGGGATTATTGGGGGCCTCATAGATGAGCTGAACCCCTCGCAGCAGTCATGCAGCGGTAGAATATTGGTCGAAACACGTGTCTGGACTTTTAGCTAGTTAACGCATTCGGTAAGACAAACTATGAGAAATTTGCATCCGCAGTCGAAATGTCTTCTACGAGATATCTACGCGGAATGTTTACCTTCCGGAGTTTTTTGAATTCCCTATATCCAATTGACTGCCCTAACGTGTTCTAATCCTGTCCACACATGTCCCTGTCCCGAGAATTGGGCATGCCGAAATGGACGGAGCCATGGACCAGACAGAGAGGTCGATTGTATTTTATTTTTAGTACAGCCGAACAGTTATACTGCATGCTTTTTTCCAGTACAGATAGCACTAATACGTGCAGTGCTCAGTTCATCATGCAGAAACTGTCGTACAACTACTATCTGTAATCTGTTTTCGGGGGACTTAGATGCACTAGAATGCGCTGGACCATCTGTTGAAATTCTAGTCGTTGAAATCGCCGTTTGGAAATCTCAGTCTCCCGTGTTTTGGTCGGCACTAGACAGAGCCCCAACGCCCAACGGGACGAGCACGTCCATAATCTGATCGGCGAGCGCCCTTCTACCATAGTATTCCCGGCCGCAACCGAGAGGACAGCGGGCCTTGATTCAATGGTAGAGCGTTTGAACATTCAATTCGCAATGATCAAAGAACCCGAGTTCGAATCCCGGATCACCCAGACCTGGGTTGGATGCAGCCGACTGGCGACAGCTGGCAAGCTAGATATGGTCAATTCAGTTTCCCTCGCCTTTACCGGCACTACTTCCGTTTTACTACTGGTCGCCACGCAACTGCCCACGTGGACTTTAGACTGAGCTGCCAGGCGTGATTGTACGGCCACGTTCCGTAGCTCCAACAGCGAACGTCCTCCCACCGTAGTACATCTGTTTTTTAATGCAATCAGGGTTTACATTTGGCCAAAACAACTTCCCTTTCTGTGCTCAGGATGGACCAATGGGCGTAACATACATGTAAATCCGAATATCCCCGATCTTTGTTTACAGTAGCTGGACCCATGGCTCAGTAGGTAAAGCATTTGGCGTAAGTTGCCTGATGATCACCGTTGCTTAGTTTAGGATCTCAGGTGTTCCTGTGGGAATAGTGTATAGCCTATTTATTACCAAGAACATGCGAGAAGAAGGCTATTCTGATCATCCTTGTTTTTGCCGGCAGTACGTCTTAACTGCTGGTTGCCCTCAGCTATATGGCCGCCTGTGGTCTCGCAGATCCGCGCTCCAGAAGCATCCATATCGTTGGATGAGCGTTCACCGATAAGCTTACTGGACGTCTTCATCCCTTTGTATCTTAGGGCTCAATCCGGAGCCCTAGTAGGTATTAACAAAGCGACCAGCAATAATACAGGAAGGTATACACCAGCAAAAACAAGGGAGACTGGGATGGACATTTCTGGTTTATTAGCTGTCGCCAGCCATCCTTACCCAACTCCAGCTTTGCATGGCCTGGAATGCGAGCATCGATTCTTTGGTCATTCAGTGTTAAGTCAAACGGTATATCACTGAGTCAGAGGCCCGTTGCCCAGTCGGTTGCGATCGGTGATTAGTATCGTAAGATTGGTGTTCAATGACCGAGTCACCGGACTGCTCATCCCGTTGGGCCTTAAGCCTTTAGCTAGAGCGCCCTCAAGTAGGTACAAAGTAATCAGTAGTGGCATAGAAGGAATACCGGCATCCTTCAGTCGAGATAGTTCGGCGAACCTCACGTCCAATTGATTCTAAGAATCATTTTTGTTGCTATTTTACAACGCAGTGGAACGACCATCTTGGTAATTCAAAAGTCCAGCAACACCTTTCTTTCGATAAAAAAAATTCATGCCTTTGGCGTTTTTCAAACGGAATTTGAATTGATTCTTCGGTTTTATTAACTCCCGTAGTTTGTTTTACACCAAAGTCAATCCATCATAATGCGTCTTTTCTAGGCAAAATAACTTTTTTTAACTTAATGCACATTTTCAGAGAAAACTACCTCTGCCTATTTTATAGCAAATTATAACGTTGCGAGAATTGCAAAATACTAAACGTCCCATTAAATTTTAGGATGGGCATGGGAACATGGATCCTTCTCTTTCAAGTGGCCTTGCTCTAAATTGCTGGGTGGATAGGGTTAATGTTAGGGTTAGGATAAGTGCCGGGAATAGGGTTAATGCCAGGGTTAGGAGGGCTGGGATTAAGAACATATTAAGGAGAGTGAGGCTTATAAGTGTTCGTGTTTGCGGTTGGGTTTAGAACGATTAGGGCCAAAGTAAGGTCATGGGAATAAATTCCCTTGAATTTAACACGATCTCACCTGTAGTTCTGGGGGGTATATATTCTCGTGTCCGTCAGTAGCCGCTTAGTAGCCGGTACAATTAGGGACTGACTGGATAACCGATAACCACTCCTTGACAAACAAATTATTCACTATCGCAAATAAACCAGGATAGCTTGGCAAGTTCTTTGAGTTGCAAGTGATCTACCATGCGATCGCGCGTGCATATTGACAACATCTTTTTGGTCTTTCAAGTTAACTTTCACATCTTCATATGGTTGCTTACACTATTGGTTTCATCCCTGAGAAAGTGCCAGCAGACATCTTGAGGTTGACAGAAAACTAAACAGTTAAGGGGTACACATTCACCGCTATAAAACTTTTAAAATCCACAAAATGTGACCTAACTTACGAAAATTTCTAAAAATATACAATTGCGTCATTCACACTTAGGTCTGTTTCAGCCGAACTGTAACATCGAGGTGAAGTACGTTGGCTTTCTTAATGACATTAGTCAATAGTAGTACTAGTAGGCTTCTAAATTGTCACGACTAACTACATGACGAAAATATGGACCCCGTATTACAGATATCCCTCCCCTTGAGTCCAAGGAGGAGTTAAAGTTAGGGGTACAGTTAGGATTAAAAGGACTAGGGTTAGGCTCATGGAGGTTAATGTTAAGTTTAGGGTTAAAGTCGGGACAGAGAAATAAGGTCACCTATAACACCGAGAGGCCCCTATTCCTGTGCACGACTAAATTGTATTTAAACGCGTCCTTTTTAAATCAGCTAATCCCCCTTTGCAACCTTTAACCTACGCATTTTAGCCCTTCCATGCAGTTTCTAGCGTTTCTATGCGGACTCTTGGTAGCTGTTCATTTGCAAAAAAGTACCTTGAGTAGATCCGTGACAATGGTATCCATGCTGTCGATCAACTCGCGTGTCGCCTTGTCTGCCCGTTCTCGGGTGTCCTGTTGGCGGATGACTGCCGCATAACGCATCAGATCAGGCGAAAGGCTTCCTATAACTGCCGCCACCGACTTCTGCAGTCTGTCCGCCTTCGTTGCTGCAGGGTGTGTTACGTCAGCACCCATGACCATCAGGAGGGAATCTTCTTGCAGCTGTTTCACAGACCAGTTGATGCCTCCCAACTTGCCATTGATTTTCAGCATCAGGTTGGCTTTGGAGATACAGCAAAATGCATTTCGCCACTGACCCGTTGGATACTTTACAGCAATTGTTAAAATCACTAAACTCTCAATCACCACGCTGTGAACCAACTTTTCTCGTAGGCAAACGTTACAACAAACCGAAATAGCATTTTGGTGGCGATAGAATACGAAAGTCCACTGTCTTTGTCACTTTAAAATGCCTTCTTATTTCATTTATATGGATAGGTTATATGAGGGTTACGTTTCTGGTTAAGCTTAAGAAGAGGATTGAGCTTATATTTTAAGTTCAGGTTAGATTAGAGATAAGGATTAGGAAAGGAACTTAGTTTGAGGTTAGGGTTAAGATTGCCTGACACATACCATCTTACCCAATCCGACCTCTAAAAAATAATCTTGTATTACCCGTTTCAAGCCGTTTAAACGCCCCTAACTGTCATCTGTCAATTTGTGCGATCTGTTCTGGTACATTATTTGAGCACTAAAGCAAATATATGACAGAAATGTGAGTTTTTTCAATATTTTCTACAGATTCGGTTAGTTGTCGTACCCGTCTGCCTACTGAAAAAAAACTAATATCAAAATCCTTCCAGTAATACAGAAGTCCCTGGGCTCTATTTTCTCAATTGCCCTATATGTCAAATCCTCGCCATGTTCTTGATTAAGATGATAATATAAGCCTCAAAAGCATAAGATTTGTCAAGTGAATTCCCTCAGGGAAGGCAAAACGGTCCAGATTAGCGGACAGTCATTGAGTTAAAAAACAGACAGTTAGGGAAGCTCACTCATGACGTTGGGCTTTCGCAGGGTCGTATTCTTGACACACTGCGTCTTCATCCCGAGTTCTAGGTCACCGAGTCGCTTTATTGTCGAGTACGACCTGCTGTCGTAGAGAATGATAACTGCCAACTCGACTCCCTGAACACAAATAAATCACCGTATTAACCGGATTGTCCACTTGGGTGTGAATACTGAGAGATCTTAAAATTTCAAATTAGTTTTCAGACAGAGTATGCCCTCTAAAGAGCGTTAACAAGTAAAATAGAACTCGTTTGCCGTCAATTACCTTTTTCCGAAATTCTTCGAAAGCATACCGAAGTTGAGCCAAGGTGATAGTCTTTATGAGCGGACTCTGCTCCATGTGCAATCCAAACCTTGCGGAACTTCTTGGCAGCTCTTCCTGCAACATTCGGCTGTCGGATTGAGCTAACTAAAGGGACAAACAATGACATGCAAAATTAGTGCTTTGAAATGAACAAATACGGCAGTTTACTAACTTCTGTTAAGAACCCTTAGAACCTGAACTCCTGACTGAAGATAAGGCGGCGAAGCCCTCAGAGATGGCCACAGTAACTCCCTGAATCCCGGTTCTTGTGCATTTGTTTCATTACCTACAGTGAGTGACCTATCTCATAAAGTGTTCGCCGAAACTCGGAAATGCGTCTTAGATTAGAAGGATTATTTAGGTTGGGTTGTAATGCTGATTGTCACGTGATATAATCCCATAAAATTTCGAACTTGCCTGGATTTTGGCCTCTGAATGCTCTTCTTATGGATCTCCTGTAGAAACCGCGCTCGGCAAAAATGACTAGTAATATGAAATTTCCACACTAATTTTCTCCAGCCTTATAAATGCAAATATAATTTATGAGAAACATAAGCGAAATATGTTTTCTTTTACTCGTTTGGTAGAATATTACGCTTTTTTCATATTTTATACTGAAGAAATTGCACCTTCCGGTTTTAAAAAGTTTCAAATTACGAGATTTTCCAAGTCTGTGCAGTGTCAATTCATACGGCATCGTAGCTTTCCGTTTTGTTAATGCTGTTCATTAAGTACAAAACAAGTACACATCCATCGTAAAATGTTATGCACTTTGCATGGTATCTTCTCAAAGGTGTGGGGGTATATGATTTTCTCTACGGAAAAGCATACACCTTAAAGACTGAAATCGCTACACGCTAGCGTAACGGTTGGCCTGGTTTAAAACTATTCGGTGACTATAAAACTTTTTCAAAGCCTAAACCTATCTTTTCTTTGACTACAAAATATAACGAAAGTGTGATTTACTAACAAATGAATGAAATAAAGCATATTTTTGTTTATAGTTTTTATAAAATATATTCTAATTTGTTACACCATCGTAAATGAATGTGAAAATTACATACTACTGAAGTAGTTATTTTTTTACCAAGCGCAGGTTTTACGGGAAGTCAGAAAGAATTGCATCCAAAAAGCCAACATCCTGGCGAGTCCGAAATATTATGGGATTATGTCGTGTTATAATCAATCTTGCAACCCCACCTAAGTAATTCATCTTAATCGAAAACGTATTTTAGAATTTCGGCTTATATTTCACGAAATCGGTCGCTCACTGTACTTCAGAATAATGATATCGCAAGGTACAAGGGATAAATGTATTGCGACATACATGCATATTTAGACAGACCGGCCTTCCAGCTTAGTTTGGGCATGCACATAGGTGCGGGCTAGAATATTCGTCAGCACACTAAGCATTCAATGACGGTCTAACTGTCGTGTCTACAAGGTCCCCAACTGTCCAACAAAGTAGGTTAGGCCATGACTTGTGAACGTATCTGTTCATAATAAAGCGGAATTTCGCTATATCTCTTTTTCTCTCTCTTCCAAAACCCAATGCTTTCCGATGGGATGACTAAGTTATGAAAAACAGCGGTAGGTTCGGAAAAAATTACCAAAACTAAGCAGCCATTACGCGTGCTACCTAAGACCCCGTATGAGAAACAGTACTGTAAAAAATTACATTAGACGGGAAGTGTCAAAAGATGAATGTTCGGTTACATCAGTACTCACGTATGAGGAGCTTTCTGACTTGTAATGCTCATGACTGATAGATCAGGGAAGCCTTGCAACCTCATGCATAGACATTGATCTGCTTATATAGTTTTCTAGGCTTATTTTTGATCGCCTGTTAGCAAACCGGAATAGCACTGTCAATAAAGACTATAAAAACTGGAATGGTTATTGCTGGGTTGGTAGTCGCCATCCGCCGACTATATCTAACCCTAGGTTTTGGCAACCCCGAGACCCTACCCCGCGACCCGTTGACAAAAGTTCAACGCCCTAACTAGTTTTCAAACGATCGCGGATTTCATACTCATGCGGTATTTTACACTCACTGACATAACCACATGAAAATATTTTCCAATAATTCACTTGACGATTACTAAGAAAGTATTTATGACCTAAGATTGCGCTGGTGCACAACCTGTCGTCAAAGAAACTCACAAAAGAACAAATGTAGGAGTTAAGACATTAAGCTTCATATAACACAGCTAACGTCAAACCTGGCGGAATGACTCAAGCGAAGGAGTCAATCACCAGTCAGACGAAGACGCCAGATGAAACAAATATCCTCATTCGACATCAAGCGTCGTCCCTCCTCATGGCTCATAGGCCGCGCGAAGTGCTTCCTAAGGTCGAACGTGATGCACTAAGGGAACTAAAAGCCGACAAAGACCTCTTTGTCGTGTCTGTGGACAAGGGGAGTTCCGCTGCCATATTGGGCAGGACTGAATCATTTCGGAAAGCCAAAGGCTTGCTGAAGATCGCTGTTTCTTTGTCCCCTGCGAATCCAACCCTGTAAAAATGTTGACGCGCGAAACCAGTGCGACATTATTGGCAGTGGAGGGCACAGGTGCACAACTGCCGACCGATCGACAAATGGCAAAAGCGTAAGAAACGGTCCTGGTTCAATTCTACGGCCCCCCAAAAAAGCACAAAGGGGGCGCTCCTCTCCGTCCAATCGTATCCGTAAAATGCGCTCCAACCTACGGACTAGCAAAGTGGGTGCTTCGACGTCTAAAGCTTTTGACCATCGATTTGAGCACCAATTCTTTGAGAAACTTAAAGAGATAAGTCTCCTGCTAAGCAACGTCATGGTATCTTTTGATGTCACGTCCCTTTTTACTTCTATTCCGCAGGATCTAGTAGTCGAGACCATCGAAGTACTCCTACGAGACAAATACGATGAAACCGAGAATCGCCTTGGACACGCCCAAATCCTGAATTCCTGCAGTTCTGTCTCAATACGTACTTTGTGTTCGACGGAAAAATATACGGGCAGGTGAAGGGCACGCCAATTGGTTCGCCAATTTCGGGACTCATAGCCGAGGCGGTCCTACAACGGTTGAACTCGTTGGTTTTCCGACACCACAGACCGAAATCCTGGGCTCGGTGTATGGATAATATCTTCGTCATCGAACAGGATCAGGTGCTGACATTCATAGGGCGTCTCAACGCCGTCTTCCCAGACATTCAGTTTAAAATGGAGGGGGAGGGGTAAACCAACAACTGCTCTTTCTGTATGTCCTCGTTTCCCACAAAGATTGTGGTGCCCTAAAAACCAAAGTGTTTAGGAAAGCGACAAATACGACCCAAGTACTGAACTTCAACAGCAACCACCCGATCAGTCACAAACGCAGTTGCATAAGGGCGCTATACCGGCGCCCTGGGACGCATTGCAGTGAAACGGAAGACAAGATTGCTGAATTACGAAATCTTCAACCGGTACTGAGAGCTAACGGCTACCCGCGCAACTTTGTCAACCGGTGCGTGCCCAAACGATACCACAGAACAAATCTAACCGGCCCTAAATTTTGGCGAGTTCTTCTGTACGTGAAGAACGTTTCAGAGGCCGTCAGCCATCTTCTCAATACACTTGGAGTTGTGGTTACACACAGACCAGTGGCAACCTTCAGGCACCAGATAATGAAGTCGAAAGGCATACTGCCACCTCTGTAAACTTCCAGAGTCCCTTGCTGGATCTGATGCACTTGCGGGCAAAGTAACTACGTCGGAAAAACTGAGGAAATTACTCCGAACGTGAATGGTCGAGGATGTGGCAGCAGTGAGGAGAAATGGCACTAGCTCCCAGATCGCGGCTCGTTCGACGGGATCCCGCCACACCTTAAGGTTTAATAAGGTCGAAATTCTCGCAAGAGGTAACAACCGATTGAACCGCGAGCTGTTTCAGTCATGAATCTCCGGTCCGCAGTCAACTAACAACTGTACTGACGTTCCGTCTCCGTATTCTATGCTGCGGTTTCGTCTAGGCGGAGGGCGTGGGCGACCGACAGTTCCGGTGACAGCGAGCAAAATCTCCGAGTAATTGTCATGTCGAGAATCAAGAACGGTGGTGAAGTCACGGTATTGAACGACTTGGGTAGGGATCGACAAGCAATCATCGCATCAAATCTGACACAGTGATGAACGCGAACACCGCTACTTATAGTAGGCATGTGGTCGCCTGTGTCCTATAAGTACTACGCTCCGTGTACCAACATTACCCCTTTCTGTGACCATCTCTGACAATGGGTTTGAGTGAGAATCCGAAACGTCAGACCAACCAACTCTTGTTCCAGCGATCACATTTCCTTCTTCCGAACTGCCTCCTGGAACTCGTCTCTCTTCTTCCATCGGCATTTCAGTCCTCATTGCACTTGTCGGTATCCCTTCCTACATCAGTACTGATCACTATGAGACCGTCAACTAGGACTCTAGACTGAGTCCCAAGACGCAGCAGGACGAGCATATCCCACAACCTGATCGGTGAACGCCCCTTCAAAGGCACTTTTGTTAGGTCCGAGACCCCTTCATTAAAGGCTGGCTAATGTGGGTGGGCGTGGCAGGGTCCAGTCAGTCAGTGCGCCCCGGTCCAACTTCTACCTTCTATTGGAACATGTTGGGTGTGGAGATAGAGCCTAACGTAGATGGCATTTAAGTTTGCTTTGTACACGAATGCACGAGCAACTCAGGACTGAGCCCTCCCGTCGCTTTATACAGACGGGTTATCCAATGGACCCCTTACACGGGAGAAGAAACCTGATATTGTAATCTCTGGGTGCAACATGTTTATAAATCTTGTGCGCTATATATTTGCGATAAGAGTATAAACTGTACAGTTACAGTCAGACCTTCGCAAGCGATGACGCCCATTATATTCTCCACGGAAAGAGAGCAACATCGATGACATGTACGGCGAGGGTCAGTTTATGGGGATATCGAAGTTGCTCAGCATCTATCGCACTCACTCCTTCCTCATCGACCGTGTGCCGATGACAAGACAGTGTCAAGCGGACCGGGGGATGGACTCCAACACAGTAGCTGACGGAGCTAAACAAGCCGCCCACGCGTGTCACGCACGACCTGGTCCATAAAACATGTGCCAGTCCTTCATGGGGTCCCTCGGATCTCACATCAATGAGGGTGCAATCAAGGTCCTCCAGTCATTTACCCCACATGCACACTATACTGACCACAAGGACCGAGTTATCCAGTCAGTTAGCAGCTGCAAAGTACTTACGACAGTACACTATGCCGCAAACTATTTAGGCAAAAATAGCTATAACAGTTTTTTACTGAGAATTCTGACTATTGCAGTCAAACTAAATACAAAGGTAAAGATCCGGAGAAGGACCCCAAGCATCTGTAGCATGCACAAAATGTCTACTATATTTGTTTAAATAGGTTTTAGTCCGACACGACCATTCCGGTCTGGTGTTTCATCGTTCAAGTATGGGTCGTCTGTTGTAGACCGTCCGGTGCATTATCTACACTGAACTCAGCTCAGAGAGTTGATAAGCGCTCGTTGTAGACTATAAATGTTCATTTCTTTAATTGTCCTGCTTAATTTCGGTTGGTATATGTCAATACATTAAAACCTTTTCGCCCGAAAAACGAATTTACCAATTATCTTTATTCATTATGTCATTCTTCTATGCATACATAGGCCCGCCCTTAAAAGCCCTGGTACCACCTTCCCCGTAAGGCGGGCATCTTTGGCTGGTCGCGTGTGTTTGTGGTCCTTCACCCAATCGCTGCCAATACAAAGTTCTCCTTCGAGAAAACAATGCTAGAGTGGTCTTATAAAATAAGATTGTTTGTCTTGATATGTCGTAAGAGTTTCTTTTCAGATAATCAGTCAATCTACGCTCAAATTACGACCTCGTGTATGATGATTTTTAGTTTTACCAAAGGTATACAGTCGTCATTCCCTCCTAATATTAAAAGACTTTCAGGGCAGGTAGATTAAAAGGCCGCCACGAGGGTTCGGAATACTTGAATGAAAAAAAACTTAAGTCTTTCATGGAACCAGTTAGAAAACGCCGCTGACACTCCTCGGCTGTTTACTAATATCACAAGCAGTAGTAGCTACTGCATCAAGCAATTTCAAATGGAAGGGACACCAACCCTGTCTGGGGGGAGCGAGAGGATTGCCCACTTCAGAGTCTGACCGCCACCTGGCCGATAGAAAGGACCCGGATTCCACTTGCCACGTCCAAGCAATGCAGTTTGCCCGTGGAAGATGGCATGCGGTTGGGGCAGAACGCGAGCCGGGACATCCACAGGCTTGGCGGCGTTCACTTCCAACTGCAAATCCTTAGCCAGACGATGTTGTCTAAAAGAAGGACCGGGTGAAAAGGGAAAACTAATAAGCACACGCACTTCCGAACAAAGTCCTTTACGAAGCGGTCCAGCTCGTGGAAGCGATCCTGCGGGCGAACGGATGAACAGCGTATGATCTCGCTTGCAATATCTGCTTTGTCTGCCTTCGGAAGTTGGTAAGGCAGTACGCGAAGCAGTTCCATTGGTAGATATTCGCTCTGCTTAGGCTTTATCTGAATGAAACGGGAGAAGGTAAGAACTCGGGAATGGGTAACCTACCCGTACACAGGGCAATTTTGGATATTGCAACTCGATGGAATAACGCTCTGCGAAGTAGTCTGCTACCGAAACCTTCTTGGCATCGATAATTTCCGAATCTGCTGCGTTTTGTGACAAACCGTAGACGGTGAAACGCCGTGAATATGTTTTTCCTACATGGCAAAGGACGAAACCAATATCGAAGATATATGCCTTAAAATTAGAACGTCACAAATTGTGAAACTGGAGTAGTTTTTCTGAAAGAAAGCCTGCTTTCGCTTACTCGTGGTGCCTTCAGTTAGAAGAGCCGGGTGTATTTCTATCTCTTTATAACCAACCTGTAAGGCTAGGTAGTGTACTCACCCACATTTTGCCCGTTTATTTAAGAGCATAGGGGAATTACCTTGTTCGTTTTTGTAATGCGAGGCTTCAACACGTAGGAGGTCGATGTCACGCGCCATAGCTCTCCACGTCGCAGGTGAAAACATACTATCACCGTATTTATTGTGCAGTATATCCGCCAAGTTGCCGGTAGGGAAGAATGCCTTGTGAACCTGTAAGTTCGTAAGCAGCATGAAGGTATCAGGACATGTCAAAACATCCAGTTGAATATGGCGTGGAAGTATTAATTTGGATGAAACGTAAGTATGAGAAGCAAATTAACATCGCGTTTTTTCGAGTGTGTGACTAATTGGTCATATGTTCTTATCCATTCACTTTGGAGATAACCTAATCAAAAGGTTGTTTACGAGAATCAAAAAGTGCTGTTTGAAGGATATTTAGAACATTAACCCAAACAAGTTCTGTTTATGAGTGGCACATTCAGCCAGTTAGAGGTTCTTGGTTGTCACCTTTGTGAGACAAACGAGGATTTTGGGCACACTAAGGCCTGTGTACGACAGAAGTGTCGATGTCGGTATTGTAACAACAAGCAAAATCAAATGTCAGAAGGAGTGGACTTGTTTTCAAGTTCTTGACATTCATCTTAGATCGATAGAGCTGACTTATTTGGAACCCTAAACAGGATATGGGAATAGGTACGCCCCGTCCAAGTTATAATTTCGTATAATTTCGGAGAGGGCAAGATATTTCCGTGTCCTAAATTTAATAATAACCCAAACATAAAACTGGACTGTTGCCCTTATCTTGACCCTAGCCCTACGCTAAACCTTAATTCTGCAGTTAACACTGGTCCCTACCTTAACCCTAAACGTGATCCTGGCTTGCGATACCGTTAACTTTAAATCTAGCCTTAAACTGAATCCTTCACTTAACCCTAACCCTTCCCTTAAACCTGGCCCTAGTTTCACTGGAATTTGGGTCAAAGCCACCCGTCTTGCATGCGGTCCCTGTTCTCATGTACTGTTCAGGAGGCCATATAAGTCAGTCCTACCCTTTGATTTACCAAAACGGCTTCATTGAGAATTATCAAGGGATCGCCAGAAGAGGTTTATTTACTAGCCGGCCTTCCGGTCAGTTTCACCCCTGGAATTTCTTCCTGCCGAATTGTTTCGTGGAACTCTCCTCTTCACTTCTATCTGCAATTCCCAACATCTCTACATTCCCAAATGATGGCCATGACAAGAGGCGGCAGGTTAATTGGCAACGATGCGATATGCGACCCCATCCAGAATGCGGAGGATAGGTCATCATGTCTTACGGGAGCGGCGGAAGAAGGGGTTATATAAGTGGGACAAATGGATGGGAAAGAGAGCGGTAAAAACGATGTAGTTTTGGAAAAATGCTCTAATTCCGCAAATAAGTTTAAATAGATCCGTGCATGACCCTGAAAACGACCCCGAAAATTGAATACTAGCGAAACTAAAGACAAAAAAACAAAGGAAGCGAAATATAACGTCTGCACAATAAGACACCAAGTTCAGAGATCAAAGCAGCGAAATGGCCAATAGAAACCCAAGGACCAATGACGTTGGTGAGCTCCGTAAGAGTAAAGTGGGAACGCTGATCCAACGAAACGGCATCATGAGGCGGAACAACGGAACACAGGGAAACCGCCAAGGCGGCCAGCAAAGGTAAAGCATGCCAAATCAGCGCGTATACCAACCGACAAATAAGTTAAATGTGATATTTTGACGAAAGTGTCTCAGAATAAAGTCAGCTAAGCATAAATCTATGTTATCTTCAACAAAAAGGCAACCTGTATGCCCTAATTAAACAACGCTACTTTCGTAAGAATCAGTAGGTAGCAATAGGTAATGTGCAAATTTGAGTCGCATATTGTGCCCTTTTCGTTCAATTTTCTCAAAAGCGCTAGAGTAATTTCGGGGGAAGACAATTGACGATCGGCGCTACCCCACCCCTCAGATAGTTACAGCAGGTAATTCATGTATAATATGAGAAAATGTCCAGAGTATGACAACGATCAATTCTAGTTGTCCTACAAAATGCATGGGCTTTCTGCACGCTCCTAGGTTTCGAAAATGGACATTTAGCCCCACTTTTCGGCAGACCAAACAGTGAATAGACATATCCCAGGGATCCCGTCTGGCACCATCAATTCTGCTTGCTTAAACTAACCGGGAACTATCTGACCGTATGTATTCGTCCTTTGCATATTTTTTTACCTCCAGAACCCCCACGGGGGAATGTCGTAGGATGTAAATGGACACATTTTATTACTTTGACCTACCATATCTATGTTCAGGCGCACTTTCCACTGGGGTCTGAGACTGGCAAAGAAACCCCGATGAATGACAAAGAGTTTGCTCTTCACCTCCTGGAAGGGCTGTGGACAGAAGCTTGCTGTTCTGCCAAAATTTATGAAGCCCATCCTATTGATCCATTTGATTGCGCAATCCAGCATGTTGATTGAATCCTAGAGGGCGAAACGCATTAACTTAAACTGATTTAGGCGGCCGAAACCTACCTGGGGTATATTGAAAGTGCAGGCATTAGGATTTGCCACGTAGCTGGCCAGGACACCTGAGTTGACTTCGCCCACCCTCTTGATGGTGTACTTTACGAAAAGTTCATCCTGATTGGTCGGATCCGGAACTGGCTCCTCACGAATGAGTCCCGCGGTGCCGACGTCTTTTAGGTGCCTTATAGAATAAACTATTCGCCCTCCGTCATAAAAAGTATCACCGGGGAAGCTAAAAATGGTAATGCAAAGTTTGTTGTCATAGAATGGAACTGAAAGACGTTTATCGGAACGAGTGACAGCAGACAAACAAGTTTTAAACTGTTTGACACTGTAGACACAGTTCAATCGTCTGAAAGAACGCTATGTATGGCAAGGACCGTTCGATGAGCCTGTTTTACCAACGATTAAAGCCGGAAAAAGTCCGTTCTTTGAAATGGCCATTTCGATCAGGAAGTCCCAGCACCCTGCCACAGCTGGGAGCGATCTATTTAGTCGCATACTACGCGGATCTGTATATGGTTGTGTCAATCAGTCAACGACTGAGTGGTTACCCAGCCTTTGAAGGGCGATGACTCAGGCTAAATGCAGGGCTGTTTGTCACTCTTTTGGACCTCAAGGATTGTAAGCGCCTGCTATGCCAGGGTCAGTAAACCATGGCTCTCACAGCCTGGTGCGCGTTGGCAGTTCTTTGGCACCTAGTTCTCTTCCGGTAGATGCGTTTGCGCTCTCTCCGGGTATGCAGGTCGTGAGCATGGCTGCCCAGTTATCCTCGTCTTTCTAACCCGTTGTCGTGCCGTTTTTGGATAAAGTCCTAGTCAAGTGTGCGTTGTGGACCAGAGGGTGTGGTGGTACGCCTGGGTGGGGGTTTTCGCCGTGTCAACCACCTGCGTCCTCTCCTGCTCCGGTCTTCTTGGCTCTGTTTTGATACCGGATCCAAATGGAGGAGCAGAGAGTGGGGTAAATTCTGTGCAAGTACACCCGCACCATAAATTAATTTACGCACAAGTCACCTTGCCTGTTTCAACTTGTTGTGGAGCACACGGTGGACACTATCGGACAAGACAGTCGGACAGTCATCTGGTTCAGTAGGCTGCCCGGTGGGGGTTCCAACAGACAGACCAATGGTTTCAGTGAAAAACTGGTGAGGCACAAAGCTATAAACCCATAAGAACCCGGTAGGTTAGATTGAGATGTATTAACATTGCCCTAAAGTCGATCGTTAAGCCGCCAGTAAAGGGAATTTGGTAAAAATTGGGACTGTACTGGTGAGAGCACTAAAAGTGAGCGAGCACGGTAAAAAATTTCATGCGTATTAATCCTTCGCTATATCGCGCATCGAATGTCGCGGCTTCACCTTCGCGAATTTTTCGTCTTTTCGAGGATTTTTGCGGACAGTGGTCTTTGTTATTTCTGGAACATGCTTCATCAGTTTAATTGTGTGTAGATAAAATCAGTGTGTCTACACAGGTAATTTCAACGAATCCTACTTAATTTATCTTGACCTATCAATGAAAAAGTTGGCGACCTCGATGGGGTTCGAGCCCATAGCAGCTAGGGGAAGGCTTAATTACAGCCAACGCTCCAGCCATCCGAGCCACAAGACCGCACCGAGAGATGTGAGTTTAGTCACACTTAATATCCAGGGGAATATAAAGGGTTTATGCTATATATGCTATGCGAGAAATGTTTATAGGAATGTGAGGGGGTATATGGGGCTTAAAATATATAAAAATAACCATAAAACATGTGGCTTTTACTTCGCAAATTTTCACTTCTCGGGTAGGAGTGTCAGGAATGCACTCGCCGCGATAAATATGGATCGCTGTAATCTTTTATATTCGCTTATGCACATCAAACACTGACAGAAACCAACCGCGCTACCTGAGATACACTAATGAGAATGCCGAAGTGGCCCTGTCCTCAATGTGAGACTCTTACTGGCAGTAATCAACGCCGGAACCAGTGAAACATGTAAAAACCTCCTCATACAACAGTACGCAGTATTTGATATTTATAGTGAAAAGGTAGGGAGTAAGTATTCTATGACTGTAGCCAGCAGCGCATGCTGTCACATGGGGTGCGTAATGTATTTATAACGCCCGTTTAAAGCAAATGCTGTGTCAAGCTCACGGCTAGCGATTAAAGTTAATAGAACAGCAATCTGACCTTGGCCCTAACCCTAGCTCAAGTCCACGACCCCAATTTCAAAGAAGCCCAAGCTACCTAATACGTTTCAGCAGCAAGGACCCATTCTTAATGTGCATTTTGGCAGATCCGAATAATTTGACCGAATATTCAGTTATGAAGAGCTGGGCGGCCTAGGTGGAATACGAACCCATGCATCAAGAGCGCTACCTGAGTGCAATCAACGTTTTAAACAACTGAACTATGAGGTCTCTACTGAGCGCCTTGGGCTTTTCATATTTGAACGTTATCCACCCAACCTACTCCAAGTTATGGAATTCATCTGTCCTCACTCAGGTTGTCTGTCCAAGCAGGTTTGTCTAAACGCTCAATTTGAAATCTACGATTTATAACTAGGTATGGAAACTTAGCGGGCAACCTAGTCCAATTAAGGAAAAATCAAGGCCGTCGGTTGGGCAGTTATAACATTAACTGTGCTCAAGGCGCGCTTTTACTGTCGCGGGTTCGAATCCCAGTGAAACTGCCGAGTTTTTCGCAAGCTAGTGTTAAGTTAGATTACATGTTTAACCAACTACTGCAACAAGCCAATCTTATCATTTTTTGCGTATGAAAAGAACTAACTGTCGCTAGAATAGAAATATGCAACATTTCTTTTCAAACAACCCATATGTTATGCGCAGAGGCGCAGGTCTTTTTAAACCAATGAAGATAAATTTGACAAAAGGTGACCCCGGGATTGCCCTAACTCGTAAGGTCAGTCGTTGAGAGGGCACTCTTCCTTCTCCGTAAAACTTTGCCCAGCGCCCTAGGGAAATAGATTAAGCGTAGTTTCGATTTAACATCCAAATAGAGACTTTTGCCTGAATATGTAGAATTTTCGCAAGATCCATGCAGATGGACACTCAGTTTAAACTCTGAAAGACCCTCTTTGTGGATTCGCTGGAAGGGTAGTGTAGCAGAGCGTCAAGGGTTTACAAGAACTTTCACAGTCTACGGCCACACTTTAACCCCTGCTTTTGTCTTTTAACATTATTTCCACTTATTAGCGTCAAAAAATTTACCCTTTTAAAGGAAGTATTCGGCATGGGTACGAGGTTTAGGAAGAAGTGTATAAAACGGAACTTTGTTTTCTAATTTACATCTGTTTCCTATGGTGGATGAGAGATTTTAAGGATAAAAATGATATCCCGTCAATTGACCGGCAACGGGTAGTTTTGCACTATGTCTGATGCCTCTAGCCAGTACTGGACCACACTTGTCTAAAGTGCTATAGTCACCATGATTTTGAAAAATCATAGTTAGTGCAGTTACTAATTTTCCTGCAAAGTTAATCTTTGGGGTCCGGTGACGCCCTTATAATGCCACAATAACAGACAGAACATATGCGGTGATTGCAGAGGAGTCATTTCCAAACGCGCAGCGCAAGTGGTTCAAACAGTTACTGCTTTGATTTCCTAAAAACAATGAAGGGTCGGATACGGGAATAAAGCCTCCTGCTCCACAGGCGGTCTTGTCCTAAACTCCAGGGCATACTTATCTTCGTGTCTTAACTTTAACCCAAATAATAATCTTGACTATCACCCTCGTCCTAACACTCTGAGCACTAATGATAGCAATAAGCCCCTGAAAATCAGCGCAAATCCACCTGTACTGCGGGGAGCCCGTGTTTACGCACCGTTCTCAATGAAGATCCGACAGCGTATGCGAAGTCATTGCCGTTTAGCTCAACATTACAGTAACCCATATCTTTCCGGACGGTAACGGTTGGGTAGTTAGTGATAATTCGCTTTTATAGGTCTGATCACCTTTCAGGTTATAACACCGTACGTAAACCCATCCCCATACTTTAGTCATAAATGCTGACACTCCACACTTCACCTACTACGAATTCAACGTTCTATGAACCCCTGGATTTTGGTCCCATTCGCCGAAATTTGGTTAAACACCTGGCTGAGGGTAGACATGGTTCCAACTGCTTGTCAGTCATGCTTGGGCATCCTTCAACTTCTTGCCTCCCAGAAACTAAAGCGGACCTTACGATTGCAAATTAAGACACTGTCAGAATTTGAAGTGAAAATTAATTATGTTTACGTTCTTAAATATTAACTTGCAAACCCAATTATGCCTTTTTAGGAACTGTCTCTTATTCACTGCTATAGAACTTTTGAGAAGACGGTTTGGACGGGTTCTGCGTTATGGGGATTTTTTGTGATAACGCACGACATCTTCTGCGTTGTCACTCTCTTGTATGCATATTCGGCAGAACACAGGAATAGGAGCCCTCCTCCAGTAATACATGTGACCCTGGGCCAAATTCCGGGGAGGTCAGGGCTAAGGTTAAGTTTAGACTTAGAGTTAGGGTCAGGACAAGGGAATAAGTATATTTCTTGAAATTTTGAATCAAGGCCGTCTGTATTAAAGGAGAAGTTTTTAGCCCCGTGTCTTTACTTACAATGAAATATTAAAAAGATTTTAAGGGAACAGTCCAAAACAGAACCGTTTTAGAACGCTAGTTTGAAAATTTTTAATACCTTTGGAAAAAACATTAGGATTTAATTTTTGTCATCGCTGCAAGGTAACTACCATTATAATCATTACCATCTAGGAATGTTTTTAAAGAGTTCGTTGTCGCCATCAAAACTCATTATACACTAAACAAGGTTGGACATCCAATAGCGTTTGAGCAAAGTGTACTCTTTATGACGTGAAGAGGACAATATGCGGTACTTACCGGTCAATAACTGGCCGTAGAAACTCCCGAAGAACTTTTGGCTTTTCAAATTTCATATCTATTTTCTTGCCGTCCACAATTTTAAAGAGTTTTAATGCTTCAATGTCATACATGTATATGGTCAGATCAGCGACTTTTGCGTCCCAACAGTTCACGTGAACCGTAATGGCGTTTCCGATCCGTCCACCCCTGTCTGGGCGCTTTGGTAAGGGCTTGCCAGTCGCTAAGGCGGGGCAAGTTCCTTCGATCGCCACTCTAAAAAATAAGAAAAGATTTTCACGGGCCTCTTTAGGCCCCACTCACGGCAGTAAAAATTACCTATACTTTACATTTAAAAAAGTTTTCGAAGAAGCAATTACTTTTGGGAGGTGCGGTCACTGACCGCCGAAATTCTGGAATACGTTTTTGACTAATAAGAATTACCTAAGTGGGGTTGTCACCTTAAACATCGTACAGCATACACCCAGGATAATTCAGTCACAGCAGGATACAGAATTTCAAAGGCACTGCTGCTCGGTGGCTTGCAAAAATCTCACTGGATAAAATTACCACTTGAGTAGTATGTATTTTTCTGTTATTCTTGGATATCCTTTATACATACACGCGTTAAAGTGTGTTTTTGCTCATTAATTAGAAAATCACGTCTTCTTGAAATTTGATATTTAAAGAGAGGATATTTCGGTTCCAAAAAATTATAATTATGGGACTTTTTAGACCGTGAAATGTAAATTTAGATATTATCTCATATGTGCGTTTATTAATGCTGCTCATGTTGTATACAGCATATTCCGCATCCACGGCGAAAGTTGTTGTCCCATTTATGATATCTTTGTAATGATAAAGTGACATATGGGATTTTCTCTACATGGAAAGTACGCAGTTTTTAAACTCTAAACCCCGAACGCAAATGCGACAGAAGATTTAACTTAAAATTATTCACGATATGAAAAACTTCTAAAACCGAAAGATGTCCTTTTCTGATAAACAAAATTTGAGGAGGGCATGGTTTTTAACTTACTTGAGCAAAAGAAGACACGTTTTAACTCATGTTTTCTACAAAATTTATTTGAATATATAAACATGACCAAAATAAATAGAAAACATTGTACTACTTCGGAGCACATGGCAGACATCGTCAAAATCAACATTCAAACTCTATTATATCAAGCGGTTACCCCGCAGAAGCTATGGAATTCAGTTTAAATATTCTGATCAACTTTTGGGCCGAGCCTAAAAAGGTTTGTCACGAAGGACTTGCTCCAAGTTATTGGACGTATTCCTAGGAAAATTGGAAAACTTAACACACTAGACTGAAGTATATTCCGCAAAACTTAAGTGGAAAGCTGAGGACTTCACTGATAAGCCGAAATCCTCACAGTTACGTCTTGCAGCGACAGAGGATCGGCGAAACATATCTCGAGGCTTTTACCTAGTAACTGTGCCGTTAGTATGGTGAATTATCCAACATTCATCGCAGGGAATATCCTGCTGGTATGACATCATCACCCCTCTCCAAAACTAAGCGACATTTACTGTAAATAAAACTGAAATGGAGATTTCGACGGTGTCCCGAATTTAGTCGCCAAAACTCGTTGCACAATACGGACCCACGTAAAGCGATGTACCGAAACGCTAAGGTACCAAAGAACATTTCTAATACTCATGTGGCTTGATTGTAATTTCCACGAACAGGCATTCTCTTACACGGATTTCATAGATGTTTTGGCAAATTTTGAATAATTCATATTGACCCAACTGTGAAAATCTCAGCGCCTCGGTTGGATTCGAACCCACGCACTAAGGTGAGGGCTTTAGTGCATCCAACGCTCTAACCACCTGAGCTACGAGGCTCCGCCGGACGACTCGAGTTGGGTCAATATGAATTATTCAAAATCTGCCAAAACACAGTTGGCGTTCCATTAAAAGCATTTCCCCTGAAGTACGATATTGTGGACGTGGGGGCAACACTTCCAAGGTCCAAAGGGCTGGTAATGTCGAATCGTCAGGAATTCAGTGAAATTACTGCAACCGACCTTGGGGTATCATGAGTATCAGCAGCCAGTTTTTGAGTTATTTCTCATACTCAGTATGGCATGGGAATATGGACCCCCCCCCGCATATCAGAGGTATCCCTGCGCCAAGTTCCAGGAGGGCTGAGCTTAGAGTAAAACTAACTTCATAAGTTTTTTGGCAGATTTTTAATAATTCATATGACCCAACTACGAAAAACTCGCCGCCTCGGTGGGATTCGAACCCACGCAGTAAGGGGAAGGCTTAAGTACAGCCATCGCTCTAACCACTTAGTGTTGGAGTTAGGGGAAGAAGACTGGGATTGTGGACATGGTTAGGGTAATGGGCGTTGGGCTCTTGTTGCTGTTAGGACTAGAGTTTAAGCTAGGGCACGGAAACAGGTGTCTCACTGGAAGTTAGCGTAAGGCCGCTTGGGTAAGAGGAAGTCCTTATTCCCCTGACCAACCGCAAGAGCATAGGAGAATGCACTGCCCCTCAAAAGTGTCTGTCAACTCATCCGTCTTAGTGTAGGGAAATTGCTTCAAATGTTCAAACCAGACGTCGACTGTTCCAGAAAAGTCGACAATGCAATTATCCGTGTTGTCGCAGTGCAGCGTGCTTCAGGCGAACAATGTGTTTGGGGGACATAGACCCGACGGAGTAGGGATCAATGCCAGCCGGCAAAACGGACACACACAGTTCGCTCTTCTTTTTCCGTCAAATGGTCAGCACAATCTGTTGTTAACTGACCGACACTAGTCCTTTCTACTTTTCAGTTCACACCTTTTCCCATTCAATCCGGTCTTTTATTTTTAGAAACAACCTTTCACTTTTTCCACCCCCCTATCCTGTCCTTTCATACGTCAGGTCAGCTCGCGTCTCCACTAGTTATCTTAATGAGCGCTTCCCATACTTTAGTTCGACAGTCAACTTAATCAGTTTGTTTACCCATTTCTGTTTTAACTGCACCCAGTTACAATGCCGCTGACCTCCATCTTAGACGTAAACTGAGGCCGTTTGAGAAACCTTTCAAAAGACCTTAGAGGAGCATTGAAAAGGTTCAGCCCTAACTCACTGTTTCTTGAACGATTTCTTCGGAACTGAGACACCGTCCCCAGAACACAAAGAGCTAGCGGAGGACGTGCTTGATTCCCTTCCCAGTTGGTTTCTCTCCGCTTCTTCATTCTGCCTAAAAAACAAGTGGTACGATGTGTAATCGACTTATTTCGTTGGCTTTCTGCTACTTATGGGGCTGCTAGCAAGAGACACTTTTTCTCAACATGGTCGTTTGCAATAAAGCCAATTGTCAATAATAGTCTACTTGATCCCTTCATGCTTACAGTAAACATTGTTTCTAAAACTGAAAGACTGGCACTGATCATAATTCTAACCACCTTGAAAAACAAGTAAACCGGATATTCTGACGAAAGCAAATAGAATTCCTTCTAAATACTTACCGAAAAACACAGAAACACTAGAATGGTCACTTCCCAATTAGAAGCCGTCATCAGCTACTCATACCCCAGTCTCAACAAACGCGCCCAAGTTTGAACCCAAGTCAGCTGATCGTCAATCACATTTACCAGCAGCGCATTGAGGACCCACACCATATTGGCTGAGACCGCTTTATCGTGATTGCAGAACAACAACGTGCATTTCCGTCCTGCAACCAGGATAGATCAGTGCATGCTGTTTCATTGGGCAGATAAAATCCTCTTCGATTCTGTTAGCTGCAGACGAAGCTCAAAGATTACTCCCATTTAAATCGGTTATCAAAGCACTGACAGTTCGACCGTCACAGGAACTGACACCCGCCACGTAATACGCGGAGGCCGTGTAGCACCACTGACCGACGCCTGAAACATCGTATAGTGCGTTAGACTTGCGCAGCTAAGGTCGCACTTTCCCCGCCCTCACCGACTTTGTGTCGATGGTAAGACAATGTCAAGACAACTGGAACTGGGTTCGGGTATAGTGGCTGACAGTCAAATGGCCCGTCTGCGCGTGCCACACACAAGGCGTTGACCACACGTCGTGAGCTAGGCCAATCAAAACACTGGTGGTGCAAACGCTTTGAATTGCAACAACAACCAAATCCAGAAGATGTGATAAGGGAAACAAATGGACGCTTTGTCTTTACTTTACTTTCGAGGAAACCCTAGGCTCGCCTTGCAACATTATCTCAAGATGACTTTGCGGAAGACGCCCGACTGCGGGAAATGACCATCAGCACAAATGCAGGCGTTTGTTTGTCGTTCAGTTCGAGGAGAAAACACTTTAAAGGCATAAAATAACTTGAAACAAAAACTACTTCGATTCCTTCTGTTTCCGTCTACGTCCGACTTCTTGGAAGGTAAGTTCCGCGGCTTCCTCGGGGGTTGGCGAATTCCTAACTGTAGTAGCATCTCTGTTTAGAAGAAAATGCAAGCATTTTTATAGTCCTCACATGAGGCAGTCTATTTAATTACATTGACAAATGTTCAGGAAAACGCTTAGATGGAGGTTCATTGGGCGACTGTCTCCTTAGTGTTTAGTCGGTAGAGATAGCCCGACCGAGCATAAATAGATACTCCTCAAGATGGTGAAACGGGCACAATATAAAAAATGAAATGTCGCCTTTAAAGTGAACTGCCAATTACGAAAAACTTGGCAGTCTCGGCGGAATTTGAACCCGTGACGGGAACTGCTAGGCTTGAGTACAGCCAATTTTCTAACCACCTAAGTTACGAGGTCCCACCAAGAGCCACGAGGTTAATCACATTTGAGTCAAACTACTCGCCGAGCCTACTACGGTTTATAGGGTTCACCAATTCTGATACAGAAAGCTGACTGGCTAAGCAATCAATCTAGGACCTTCCAAATGACTACCAGGCCCCACTGACAGGTTCGTGGACCAGGTCGTTGGTATCGGCTGTACTCGAGCCTTTTCCGTGTTTGGGTCCGAATCTGGCCGAGGTCACCGACATTTTCGCAAGTGGATCAAATAAATTATTAAAGTCTGCCGTGAACACCTGTTTGTTAGAATAGCTGCTGCCCATTTTCACCTTTTTATGATCGTACTTCAGAGGTGCAGATAGAACAGGCACAGTTACTGTGACAGCAAGAATATAAGGTTAGCTGCCCTTGGATAATAGTTAAAAAAGTATCCTTTTCCCGATTATAATTCGTGTTCAGTAGACGGTTCTTACAGCTAGATGCTCCAGTCAATTGGACGTTTCAGCTCACAAGAATAAACCGCTTATATATGCAAAGGTAGTGATTGATTTGATGCATCAAGTGTGTGTCTTGAAAGTACCGGAAATATCACACATTTTGATTCAGTATTTAAGATAATTAAAGTAGGTTCTTACCTTCCGGCCTGGTTTCCAGCAACACTGACTTTCAGCGAACTACCACGGGCCCATGGATTTACTTCAGCGAGACCTGACACTTTAGCCCTTTAGTAAGAAAACATTCTTTAACCCTTTTGAAGAGCAGATCTTGCTCAAAAACAACTTTGATCTCAAGATTTTGTTGCATTTTACAATAATTACTTGAGTTTGCTTGAATTTGTAGTTTCAAACTTTTGTCACTAAGTCCATTCCACTTTTGAATAAATTCAGACTTTTGACTACCAAGTGGTGGAACTAAACTTCTCTTAACAAACCAGAAGCCACTTTTCCCATCTCTATGTTATTAAGGATGGTCAGTTATTTCGGGGTTTTATGTTGCTCGGAAATAAGAATATAGATGTGCGGATTCTTGGATCGCGTGGACTATACAGAGTAATTTTGGTCATCTTCCCAGGACTTGTGAGCTGTTTTTGTGCAACCCGCTTCTTACACCCACCATGGAGGTAGTGTAGACTCTGAGAGAGGAAACATTAAGGTAATTGCGATATAATTCGGCAACAGATCCAGACTTATGCATTATCTGTGTGCAAAAAAGATGGGGAATTTCATTTGTTAGGTATCCCACCAATTTAATGGGCAAACCTTCTTTTGAAAACCATTATTTTCAAAATCAGTATGATGCAGTAAGCTGAGAAAATAGTTTTACGTATGAATTAACCAGCACGAATAAGCATGTTTATAAAGTACGTGGGAGGTCAAGTAATTCGGTTCTAATCTTCAAAACTTTGTCTCCTATCGGTCAGTGTGAGGTCTTAGGAGCACAGAAATAATGTGACATTTCGGCTGTCACGAACGAGAACGTCCATCATATGCCCCACAGAGTGCGCACAACAGTGTTTATTTGCACTTGAATCACTTTATAGTGATGTCGGACTTGCAAAGCATCTACCGAACTCTCTCCTCTCACACTCACCAGGTTCTGATTAGAAGACAGTGTCAAAGCGATCAGTCCTGACTCTCAGTCCTTCAGCCGGCTACTACACATGTAGTACATACTGTAAATATAGTAATAACCACGAGGAACATGGTATTCCGTCGCTTGCCAACCTTTCGAGGCACGAGCACATAAATGTGTGGTTTGTATGCCAACAGCCAAACAGCACTTAAGCAAAAATCTTGACTTCTTCTTGTTAATTGAAAAATATCTATTTGACTTACAAAACTTTCGGTCTTCTAAACTAGTTGCTATTTCTCTAACTAGGGTGATATCTGACCTGTCTAAAATTCTTTGAAAAAGCCGTGGATTGATTTTATGGCTGCTCAAAAAGGAGATATATCATTTGTGTCTTGGCTTTTTTAAGGTTTTGAAGAGTAGACCAATTTTTAAATTTCTAGAAAACTTACTTTTCCACTGACTGTGCGGCGGTTTTTGTTGCGGGCAAGTCACCCCAGGCGGCAGTGGGGTCAAGGTCCATCAACTTTGGTATGCTTGTTGTATTTTGGATTGACCTTTGGGGTTACAAATTCATTAACGTGCTTTATCGCCTTCATAAATTAGAAAACATCAACTAATTGGTCTGGTTTCGGATGTCTCAGTACCCGGTCTTCTTAGAAATTACCCGTTAGTCACACATGTAACATCAAAGATATGGGGTGCTTTTAAATACAGCAGGTCGTAGGTTGAAGGCTATGGGAACATCAGCCATCTGCTAGGTAAAAGCTCCGAACAGTGTTCCCAGTGACCTTTTGCTGCTCCACTAGTGGGTCTTGACCGAAACACAAAGTATATGCAGCTGCATATTCATGTCAGGCGCCTACAAAATGCCAATTCATCACGCTTTTGCCCCAAGATGATAGCTAGGGTACCTGTTGCAACTCTAATCAACCGAAAGCCAGCATAAATGCATCGACCAAAACACCAAATAATGAATGACTTTCAATCCAATTATAACAGCGAAAACCTATCAGATGTAATATTACCTTTGTCATAATTAACTACTTTGTTAGGGAAGGGGGAAACGCTGAAAACGCAAAAATCCGTATGAACTGGGCAAACTCAGTTTTTGGAAGTACGTAAAGTCCGTCCATGCAAAAAGTCGTCTTTATATATATTTTAGTAAATTTCCTCGAAGAATCTGTGTATGTAAAGTATGGCGCATAAATAAGGGCGTAATATATAACTGTGGGTTCTAAAACCTTGAAAGGGGCATTCAATGCCTTCTCCGTTCTTATATTGATTGAGATGCAGTCAATTAAAGTAAAGAAGATTTAATTTGATTTCGCTGATAGGGACATCACAAGACAAAGTATTATACCACATACTCAAAAGTTTCAACGGTTGTTTATATTGGCCCTTTCCGCGGTAACTCATAGAATACTCGCAAACGTCAGAAACGTATGCGTTATTGTTGCATGTTAGGGCAGGAAATCATATAGCTTTGCAAATCTGAATTTCAAAAATTAATAAGACGTCTGATTTTCTGAAAACAACGGGCTCGCATACATCCTGATTCATTCGTCCCATGCAGAACGTCGTAGTTATTTCCATGTGCATTATTACTAGCGTGGAAGTCGCCGAACTGTAGCTTCTTCTGACTTATCATTTTGGCCAGATTGCTTATCTAATACTATCATCTTCGGAATTCAAGATATATGGATCCCCATTAAACCATAGTTGGACTGCCTTAAAACTCAGGCTTACATTGTTCATCAGTGATGATGGTAGTAGTAGTAGTAGTAGTAGTCAGGAATTTTTTCTAAAACAGGATATTCTAGTCTCCCTCCAGTCTGTAAACCGGAAAGACACAACATCCGGCTGGCAACTCAAGACAAGAAACTGCATCTATATGTCTGACATTTCATGTGTAACTCACCAGCTTGGCTGCTTGGTAGGTCCCGCACCGGACAGATCACCCCATGCTGAGGTAATATGTATATCCATTAATGCTGGAATACTGTCTTTCCTACATTCACAAAAAGTGGTCGTTTAATAAAGCAAAACACCATTAAAGTGACATTTGCGAAAGTGACGAAAAGTTTTATTACGCAGGACGAGCAGAAGTCGTTGCTGCTGTTGCTGCTGGCCGATCATCCAGAGGCGGAGACACGGAGGTTTCTGACGTCCCGGACTCGTTAACAGTGACTTGCATTGCCCTGGGGATAAGTACGGAATAGTTTACTTTTGGAATTTGCACAGACTGATTTCGACTACTTTATCATGCGTAATTTTGATTGGTGGATTAATAAAAGATGCGTCCGTGAGGACATTCTTCCTTTATTCAATCCTACAGGGATCCACTCGTGGTCTGAATTTCCCTTCTTAAAGCCTTGTCGTATATGAGTTTAGCTACGAAGTTTTTTCATTGAAGACATTTAAAGAACCTTTCCAGTCGTCTGAGACTTCGCCTACTTCTTTAGTTTATAGGGCTGCGACATGCTACGAAAACATGCAATCAGCTTTTGTGCGTGTACATCTGCCCGAAACTGAATGCGACTACTTGATGTTCACAATGCAGTCTCACTGAATACCTTTCGTCGTGTCTTTCTATTAGTACATTGGTTCCCTCCCTCTTTTACGAGGCCGAATGATTTACTTGCTGTTTCATCGATTTCAGGGTAGCTCCAGGACAGTACGGCACCTTAAGTTGCCTTCAGTTGACTTGAACATAAGTACCAGGATTTTTCGCAAAATTTCTAAGAACTGATATTTGCGCAACTGTAGAAGATCAGCAAGTTACCTCTCTGAATTACTTGTCGTTGCATGTCGTCCTCGCTCACATAAGAGGTTATCACGCTTGATGGGTTTTACCCGTCCGCAATAATAGAGCGTTTGTTGAATAGTTTCTTCATAAAGCGGCTCTCTTTCTACTTCACCGCATGACTTCAGAAGTCACATAAATTTTTGCGTTGGATGCCCCAGCTGCGCTGTGTCGATCCTAACCTACGATTGAAATGACAGATGATTTCGATTGTCTTCTTCGTGCCTTTGTCACCTTTCCATCGCTTTGGACACTTCGACTTAAATTTTCTCGGTGCCAAAAGTCCCTTTTTACGTGAGCTGCCCAGAGCGAACTTTGGTTCTGCATTTGTTTGTAAAGGAAACCTGGATCGCACCAAAATCTTATGTAAAACCCAGTATATGGAAGACATCGTGAGGGATCACGAGAGTATGGGTTAGCTATTCTTTTTGTCAAAAACGAACGCTCTACCAGTGCATGTCCTCGTCCTAGGGTCTGGACCAAACTTGGAGAAAGGAGGTCATGGCCCAGTCCGAGAAGATGTTCATCTTTTGTTTTTAAGAAAACTTATTCATGATGCTGCAAGTTTTTAATAGTACAGGTGACGTGGATACGCTCCCAGCGCAACTCACTCTAGAAATAATCGTACAAGCAAACTACCTTCCGTTACTTGCTTTTGGAGACTGGGATGGAATGGGTCACTTGTTCAAATCCCAGACGTTAACCATGCCGTTTTGGTACTGTTTTTGTTGGTTAAAATCCTGATCAAGTGTTTATTGCGGACCAGGAGGTGTGGCGGTACGTCTAGGCGCGGGTCCGGCCGTACGAGCTACTTGCGACCTCCCTCACCTCCGTTCTTCTTGACTATGTCTTGACACCGAGTCCAGGTGGGGGGAAGAGTGGGTGCAGTAGATGCTGCGAAAGTATACCCCTACTATAAACGAATTCACACGCAAGTCACGGTGTCTGCGGCACATTGTTGTGAAGCACACGGTGGACAACGTCGGGCAGGACGGTGGAACCATCATTATTCAGTTATGTTTAAAATATTAACTTCTCGGACTGCGCCATGAAGCCCCTCCAGCACAGTTTGGTCCAGGCCCTACGACAGCACTAAGTGCCAGAGGTTACTTGTGTGACCTTGATTCTTGTATGGTAAATCAGTCATGGTGGGCAAGTGTTAAGAAAACTTCGTTGTTTTGCTTAATTTGAGAACTAGACAGAGAGGTTTTGACATATATTTGACCAATCAAGTATGCTGATGGGAAAGCCTATAATCCGTAGTACACCTATCTGTGTTTCTTTGTTTATTGCGGACTATTGCCTGTTGCAAGGCCCGAGCTTGGGGGCATTTATATATTTAATTCCGCTTCTTAGCTTCAAAAATAAATAGAGCCCCTGAGAGAAAGGCGGTGAATTTGTCCACCTACAGCCTAATAAAAACACAACATACGCCCAGGACAGTCTCGCCCTGGAAAGACTTTTGAAACAAGAAAGCTTTGTAGTAATTCTTGCCCATGCATGTTTTGCACCACTACTAGCTTGAGAGGACATTCTCTGAAACTACGGGTGACAGGGCGAGACTGGACGCAAGGAGGTCTTTCTTCAGCCACAGATTGGTAAAGGCATAGAATGCCCTGCCTGTGGACGTCGTCATGTCCTCATCCGTGGACACTTAAGAGGAAGCTTGACCAGTACAGGGGTATGTACCTCCACGGCATCAGAAACTATTTATCCCCCTGTACCACACCCCTAAGTTTTGCGTTGTAAAGCATGCCACTCTCTATATTTAAGTAGCATTATTTTATTACGTGTCGTTATCTCCCGGCAGGAGCATATACGTTTGCTTCGATGTTACTTGGTCCATTCAGTACCGCGTACTGATTATTGTACAATTTTGACACAGAAGGCATTCACAGACAAACTTATACCAGTAGCCAATGCTTGTTATATGTAATTACTTACCTAATTTTCTTTGACACTTGCCTTACACATTGTTTTTATGACGTTATTTTAACCAAAATGGCGTTCAAAGGCGCTCGCCTACCTTTGCCTTAATAAATCTGATCTCATCTGATAATCTACACCTCTATACTGCGAAAACGAGATCTGCAAATGCTACTTATATCAACGCAGAAGAGGAAAGAAAGAAAAAATAGAAAGAAAGAGGAGTACAGGTGGCAGTTGCCTCTACAGGAATAAATTTCATGCAATTCGCACGATGGTGAGTTTTCATGACTACGTTAATTAGCTGTTTAACAGTTCAGTTGTAGAAAGCATTGAGATGGCGCAGGTAGTTTCAAGCTTAATTCAACTGGGCCGACTGGGCTGACTGACGTTGTGTATACTGACCGCTGACCATAACAATGGGCTGCATTGTATATACACTGAATCAGAACAAGAGTCAGGTTGACAGGCACGTGTTTACCGGGCAGCGCAAGGCCCGAGTACATGTGTTGGGCCCGCCTTAGACGTAGGCCTTCATGCAGCGTCAGTCTCCGTGTCCAATCTAATCATCATATGGTTGCCACTTTCGGACAGTCGACTGGCGCATGGGAGAGAGGAGAGGATGATGCCGACACTGCACATCAGCGCATTCCTTACCAATAAAAAAACCTAACCCGCGTGGATCTATCATGACGAGCTTATATTGCTGGCTTGGCAGATTGCCAATTAACGGGGTATTTCAATCCTTCTTAATACTGAGAGTAAGGCTCAATGGCTGTTTCTTAATGTGGTCTTTATGGCACTCTCACTGATATGAGATCCGAGCTGCCTTTAAAGAAACCTGATACATTTAACGGGGACCCGGTCGTGTGTGACAGACGTAGTCGGGCTGTTCAACCTTGTGAACCACTACGCCTCCTGCCCATCTCGACAGTGTCCTGCATTGGAAACAATGTGATAGATGCCACGAAAGTCTGCCCCACTATAAGCTAATTCACGCGCAAGTCATCGGTACTTCGCCACCTTCCTGTGGCACACGGTGGGTGTTATCGCTGCAACGGTCAAACTGTCGGGTTTATTGTTACTTTTCCGTTTTATTCCGCACTTTAGTCGGCTTGACATGTCTTTCGCTGAATAGCCAATGTTCCTGCAGTCTCCTGTTGGGTGTTCAATGTACTTTGTCAGTGATATTTGCACGTCATGTTCGCACTCCAGCAATAATTTGGATCGTTCCATTTGAATATCTCCCGTTGTCCACATTTTATTACTCGGTTATTAAGGAGAGCAAATGACCCATCCAATCATGCTGTGCCTATATCGAAAACAGAATAATGTGCCTCACTGATCGGATTCATTATAAGCGGATTATATATATATATATGTATATATGCCATATACATGCATATACATACTATGCTGTACATACTATAAGCAAGCATATGTATATATAAATGCAAGGAATCAGTATAACAAAAACAATCATCCTTGACGCCCTTTTATTTGAGTTGTATTTTTGGTTTAAAACGTCTGCTTTAGATGCCAGGAACCGTGATGAGCACTGTACAACCAACGTGGCACCTTCCGCGAATCCTATCGACAGTCTACAGTTCAGTCTCCTACGTCTTGACATCATCCACATTTCGGCATCTACGCTCTCTCATCTAATTTGATTGTGGTTCGTATTCATCTAGTGGGGTGGAGCGCACACGTTTTTGGGAGATCCAACATATTTCAAGTACTGGATAATGTAAAAATGAGAATATTTTTTGGTTCGAGCAAAAGATATACTCACTTCCGTAACTTCTGTTTCTTCTTTCTGCCTGCGCCCAGCATAGCCGCATCGGTCCAAAGGGCATCGCTGGAATTTACGACTTCCTCGAGTTCGGTAACCCGCCTCAAATCAAACAACATTAAATATCAGTTGAACGTTCGAAGATTGTCAAGGTGATCTAATTGTTCGACAAAAGCTACTTGAAGTCTTTTTCCCTGGATATTTCCTTGAACAGTAGAAAAAACATGATTATGGACCTTGCATAAAATGAATTTATTCTTGACCTAACGGTGGAATCCCGCCCCTCCCTGGCCTAAGATGAATTATTTAAGAGTGGGAAGTTTGCGTTGCGTTTGATAAAATTTTTGGCTTTTGTCTGGACAATGGTCATACCGATGACCTGAATAATTTGCCTAACTTCTATTGAAAGGTAAGGTAGCGCAGTTTCTCCTGTCACACCTTGGCTTCTTTACGTACTCGCACTGGATTCTAGTGCAGGACAGTGGAATGGGTTACAGCGACCATGGAAGTAGCCCTCCTCTCTTAGTGTGAGGTAAGCATACGTTCTAGAAGTCAAGCGTTCAGAAAATTTATATTTTGTATAGAGTCGAACATATGCAGCATGAAGCGGCAATTTCTAGAAAATCGTAGTTTGTCTATCCGAGTGTAGGTCTGTTTGCTTATCTCTCTCATGCAGGTCGGAGTTTCCTTTAAACGTTTTCAGCAGACTGTGTCAATCCTTCTCTACCTAAATATCTGGAGGATCCTTAGAAGCTTTACGAAATAATAAAGACACGTTTTCTGTCTCCAAGTACACTTGAACTGCACAACTGTCGAAACTTTAGGGTAACAGCACAGGTAATAGCCAAAAGCCCATACACGCGTGTTTTGCCGATATTTTGCCGCTGTATGACACAGCTGCGAGGAGTTCGGCTCGTCACTGGGTCTTCATCGGTTAATGAATATTACGCGGTTGTCCGCTGTGAGTGATGGTCTTCGGCCGAAATATTCATGTATAAAAACTATGCTCTGAGCCTATGGACCTTAAATATACTGATCTGCTCCAAGTTCGCAGTTAATTTCTAAGGAAATTAAAAAGCAACAATGTCCAAACTTTCGTAGAACATACTGTTTTTAATAACAGTTACTACTTCGTGTCACAGTTAAAATCAAGAAAAAATTATAAAAGTATGCTGAAGTAGGGACTTAAGGGCTTGTGTGGGAAACGCTTAGGTGCAGTTTTCTGGATCCTGAAATATGCAAGTGCTCTCGTTCAACCAATCTTAGCAAAAAACAAGTCAAAAACATGTTGTTACAAGTTAGCAAATGCACGGTTAGTGTAAGTTTAATTTAAGTATTTATTCTATGAAGAGGACTTACCTGGTCTCTTTCTGTTCACCTCCCATGTTAAACCCCTGGTCAGGGTCGATCTCCTGAACAACGGCATGTGTCGGCTTCGCGTCCTCTTTTGTCTTCAAATTACTTCTAAAAAGGTGTTTAGTGGATGAATGGTGTCCAGATTTAGATATGAAGTAACTGCTCAGCTCGCAATTTTAACTACTGTTACCTTGTTTCTACTCTTCTTAAGCTGATTCGTAAAACACGTCTTTGTACAATTTCCCACAAATTTTAGGTTAGTAAATTACTGTTAACTTCAGAAAAGGGCATTTCACCTTGAATATTCAATTTAAATAATGAATAATTTAGGGTCTAACGTACAGTTAAGTCGTCGACTCTGTAAGAACTTTGTTATTTTACGTCTTCTCAAATTTCTAGGATATTACACGAAATGGCGACACTATCTGGTGAATTGAGAGCCCGAAAAGTTCCGGATCCGGTGGCTATGGTGACGACTAGGAATAAGTGAGAAACAGCCGTCCCAAAATTCTTTTCTGCATTTCGAAATGGATGAAAATTGATATTACGCTCGCTTGCCCTTGAAAATATAACGGATCGTCAATAACACTATAAGACATACCTGCCACGTGATTGTATAAGAACCTATTACTCGCTTACTTAAGCTACATATTGTCCAGGTGAGTGTTTTTGATATAACTAATTGAGCGCCTCCGGATTCTACGTCTAAACAAAAGTACTGATAATTTCCATAAACCATGTGCCCTCAAGTGCTTCTCCATCCAGCTTTGAAGTGTGTTTTGAAAACGCATTCCGAGGATACTGTCGTCTTCAAAATAAGTTCGGGAAAAATGTACTCGAATCATTTTTGTTATAAATAATGCAATGCTTTTAAAACTGGTGAGCAGTTTTCAACAGAGTTCTCGTTCGAGCCAGTTATCAAAACGATGCATCTCCTAACTGGGTCCAAAAAGAGTTTTCTTTATAATTAGCTCGATGCGAAGCGCAGAGTTCAACCTTCGCTTTCATTTTACCACCCCTTGACTCAACACTGATGAAGGAAACCTCAGAGAAGATTACCAATAATATTTAGAAAAGAAAGAATAAACTGGACATAAATGAAGGATGATGGCCCTGGCAAATGCAGGACTGCCTGTCACCCTTTTTGGCCTCAAGGACTGCAAGCGTCTGCTATGCCAGGGCCAGCAAACCATGGTCCTCACAGCCTGGTGTGCACTGGCAGTTCTCTGGCGCCTAGTTCTCTTCCGGTAGATGCGCTTGCGTCCCCGCCGGGTATACGGGTCGTGAGCATGGCTGCCTAGTCATCCTCGTCGTTTTTCTGACCCGTTGTGGTGCTTTTATTGTTGGTTTAAATCCTGGCCAAGTGTTTGCTGTGGACTAGGGGTGTGGTGGTATGGCAAGCTGCGGGTCCGGCCGCGCCAGCTACCTGAGCCCTCCCTCACCTTCGGTCTCTCTTGATCGTGTCTTGGCATCGGGCCCAGGTGGGGAGGGGTGAGTGTGGTGGATGCTACGCAAGTCCGCCCTCACTATAAACTACTCCACGCGCAAATCATCGGGCCTGCCTCACCTTGCTATGGAGCACACAGTGGACATCGTCGGGCACGGCGGTCGAACTGTCATTAATCAACAACGAACACAATAGCCCTGAACACATAAAAGACGACTCAGGCAGTGCTCTTCGACGTGAGCCAACTTTCTGTAAGTGTGCCTCTTTGCCATTTCTCTGAACTGCATGTCATTTTCCAGACTTCAGTCCTAAGGACGGAGTGTTTTAGGCGTGAGTAACGACACTAGGCAAATTAGTGCATTTCCGTCTTCCATTCCAACAGCATTCCTGACGAATGTTGGTACCGGATGTGCAACGCGGTACAAATCAGTTTCAGCAGTCCAGAATGTTGGTTTTAAGCTAAGACATTGTTGGTTCAAACTGTATATCGGACACACACACGTTCGGTGAGGAAAGCGTTAACACTGACTTATATGGCTCGCAAAAACAGGACATTAGAATAGGAACCGCCTGCATCACGGGTGGTTTTAAATCAACTCCCAAATAAATTTGGATTAGAGTTAAGGTTAGGGTTAGGATTAAGGTACGGCTTAGGTTTAAGGTTAGATTTAAAGTCAATGGTAAGGTAGGTCATGATCAAGTTTAGGGCTAATGTAGGGGCTAGTGTTAACCGCAGAGTTATGGTTTAAGGTAGGATTAGGGTCAAGATTAGGGCAATGGTCCAGTTTTATATTTGGGTTATTTTTGGGCTTAGGACGCGGGAAATTGTCCCTTCTGGAATTGTGCGCAGGTCTATCCTTATTACTTAGGCCAGGCGCTCCTATTTCCATGTCCTGTTTAAGGAGCCATATAAGTTAGTCTTGTCCAGAAAGCGAAATCCAAGGGATTGTTGACGACATGTATTTATAGCAAGACACGTCTCATCCTTTGTTTTTGCTTTGTGACTTTGTTCAGGAAGGCAGTGATTTTTGTTACTAACTTTCCATGACCCTAAAGCAACTATTCCTTCTAACTTTTTGGATCAGCAGGCAGCTTATTGATTTATCTAGCAGCAACTACCATTCCGGACGTTTGGCGGCTCATTCTGCGTCACTATCACTGTCGCTATTACCAGTATTGCCATCGCTGTCGATCGCCGGTTCTGCCACTACGACAAAACACCACTCTACCGACGTTATCCGACTGAAGGCAAGTCAGGAGTGAATGAGGGATACTATTGAAAAGTAGTAAAGGGAACAATTTCGGCAATGGGTTAGTTCAGGTGATGCGTAATAGTCGTAAGAGCCGCGGCGGAAATGGGCCGATGAAGGTAATGACTTACCGTGTGATTTGATTAAATCACATTATGTGACATTTGTGTCAGCGTCTCGTGAAACTGAGAAATTCCCTTATGTGCTTTTATTTTTCTTTTATCGGAAAATCCGTCTGACTGACTGGTGTAGCTTAGAGACACCAAGAGTTGTATGAGAGCGATGTCCCGAAGCACTGGGTCCATGATTTATCTAAGCTATCGCGTAGCTACAAATAATAATTCCCCAAAAAGTACTACTGGCCTAAATCAGTAACACTGAAAGTGCAGCCGCCGCCTTTATTGAGCGTCATCAGTCACCTACCAGGGTTGGGCTATTACTGGCCGATGACGGCTAACAAAGGCAGAAATGGTCATTTCAGTGTCGTTCACTTAAACCGAACTGTCTCGTAAAGTGTCTGCTTAATTTCAACGAATTCTTTTTCGTTGGTATTTATTTTATCTCATAAACGTCTTTTGGTGCGTTTTTCATCCGCTAAATTTTAAAGGTTTACCGTGGATGGCCGATTCCCTTTGCTTCTGTTCCGCAATGTAATGCTTTGCTAAATGTCCTGGAGATTGTACGTCTTAAATAACCAATAAGATTACTTTGTTCCTGGAGAAACATGAACAGCATACCAGACTTACACGTACAAAAGCGTGGGTAGACTTTGTAGATCCTCTACCCCTCTATAGTCATTGCACGAGCTTGAAGCAAAAGCCATTTTAAGGCAAACTACCTCATAATTATTGTGTTATTCTCTAGTAAATCATATTCTTTTCTTTGGTTCCGAACAATAGACCACACGAGGAATGCGCTGGACCAACGCAGGGACTAAGTCAGGGCACGTACGAGGAGTTCATGCTGTTCACGCGTAACACATTCGCCACATGATGGTTTATTGAGCGTCTAGGCGCAGACATGACTACCCCTGTCATACTTATCGTCTTTCTGAACCGTTGTGCTGCTGTTATTGGTCAAAATCCTGGTCAAGTGTGATGCTACGCATAGGTGGGGGTCCGGCGATGCCAGCCACCTGTGCCGCCCCTCCCCTCCGGTCTTCTTGGCTATGTCTGGACATTGGGTTCAAATGGAGAGGAGGAGGAGGAGGAGGAGGAGGAGGAGGAGAGTGCAGTAGATGCTGCGCAAGTCCGCTTTCACGATGAAGTAACTCACGCGCAAGTCACCGTGTCTGCTTCACCTTGCTGTGGATCACACGGTGGACAGCTCGGCTACGACTGTCGAACTGTCAAGCGCAAGCTCATGCCGTCCACGCCGCTCACTTACGTCCAGCCCCGCACAAGGCAAATGGACGGCTCAGACAGCGGACTAGTGGGGAACCCGTCCCCAGGGCATTTCAGCGCATATTCCACGCTTGAACAATCTGACACATGTACCAGGTGTGTGTGTGTGTGACCTAAATAGACGGGTTTCTAGAATTATTGGCCGCCCGGCCGATCCCGACTCTAGTTTTTCTGATTCTGTCTTAACACCCGCCCCAGGGAGGGGGGTGGTAGGCAGAGAGCGCTGTAGATGCAGCACAAGTCTGCTATCACCATAAACTTCTTTATGCGCGAGTCGCCGCCCTTGCGCCCACCAGGTTGAGACGCACATGGTACAAATTTTCGTTCGCGAAGGTCCAACTGCCGTCTTGTTCTCATAATTTGCTCGTGTGAGCTTCCTTCTTTTTCTCTGGACGTTTGTGAAGTGATTTTATTACTTTTTTCTCCGACTAAATAAAAAACAACAGCATTCGCTGTTAGATAAATTTTTAAAAATGAACTCTATTCTGGGTGACTTAATATCTTTATAGGGAAGACAGGATGACAATTCCCATTGTAAAGGTATCGAATTGGTCTTTTTATGTGGTCTGATTCCTTTTGAGAATATGCATCAATGGGGTGTTTTTGGCTATTGGACAAAACTTACGTAGCGTCCTTTTGGTCACCCCCGGTCGCAACATTGTTTTTCTCACTGGCCGTGTCTGCAACCGCCGAGGCTTTTAAGTCGGGATTGTGGGCATTTTTCTTTGATCTGTAAGAGCAGGATACCTGTATAGGACATCTTTCGAGCAACTCCAATAATGTAAAACCTCGAACCCTAAGGTATCCAACTAATTGAATGATGTAGTTAGATAAATAATTTTTGTTCATGTCCACTTTTACACTGATTTTGTTCAAAATCGATTAACACAAAGAAGTTTCCATTGATGAAGAAAAAATCTCGTAAATAGTGAAGTTGCTCATGCATTTTTAAGGTTCGAAGTATAAACAGCTGCAAGCTCAACAGAACCGGAACTCACTTTTTCTGTCCTTTCTTGGTATTTTCACAAGCATTCTTTTGAGACGTCTCTGGTTTCGAGGGGCCGTCTTTGTTAGCACTAAAGATTTTTCAAAAAAACTTATTTATTCCGTCGACATTCTACACGTAACTGTATTGATAAACGAAGATATGGGGCCTACTTTGGTTATAGGGTGCACGCCCCCATTACATGCGTCCAGCCTCACAGGCAGTCATCTTTTCATTGTCGTTTTCAAAATCTATGAGAGAGTTTTAGGGCCCGCGCTCCTAGTCTTCTATGAACCCACGCCATCGCAAAATGACATGCAATAAGGCAATTTTGGAATTAGGCTGACTAATTTAACAAATGGAAGTGTAATATCTCTGTCGATTTAGGCCGATCATCAAAAGTATAATGGGAATACTTAGAGACCTGGCCATTTGCCCTTGTAGAGACGTGTGCACCCAGAGTCTCGGAGTGAATTAAATAACTGAGGGCTCTCAGTGTTGGATAGACAGTTTAAAAAGTCAAAATCTAGGAAATCTTAACCAAGGCTCAAAGTATCATAGGACAACCTCTATTGAAAAGTACTCACGCAGCTGTGTCTCCCGCGTCTTTCTTTTTCAAGTTTTCGACCTTCTTGGTCTCGTGTTTTTCCGGTTTTTCCTTAAGACTTTTGCATTCTGGGGGGTCTTTTGTTGCTGGGCCGACGTTCTTGCTGCAAACAAATGTTACTTATTAGTGGAAGACATTTCTGTAAAATATATCTTTTTGGCCTCATCGGCTCTCATTTTTCGGCTTAATCGAGCAGCATTCTGCTTCCGATTTTAGAATTGTCTGTTTTCTATATAAAAAATGAGCCAGCAGTTTTCCATTTCAAAATCAAGGCATGTATTTATAGCCTGCAACAGCAAAGAACCACGGTGAGTGGGTGTCGTTCTTGCAAATTTGTGGCATGCATTCTCCCTTCCATGCACATTATAGAATGCCTAGGTTGTCCCTTTAAGGGACATCGAGCCGCACTTTTGCTGGCCAAGACCCCGAAATGCTCGAAAAATGTTGGACAAACGCAAAGCTGCATTCAAAAAACCTGTCTAACACTGGACAGCTACATGTTACATGTCCAAGAGATGGTTTATCGTCGCTGAATACATTCTCCTAGGCCCCACACAGATTTAGTCGACCTCTCCTACAGCTTCGTTACTCCGCTTCTTAAACTTTAGAAGGCAATCGAATATGTGCCTAAAAGACTATGCTTCATTCTTTTTTAAAGTTTTCTTTCCCGTCATCAAACATGTAAACAGTAGAAATGATTTTCAATGCTGCTTCAGCCAAAGTCGAGCTCTCACGCAGCTTGTTTTTTTAAAAACCGTCACTGACGATTCCCTTCTGTCTAGTTGATTTGTTTTTATAAAGAATTTTGTATTGTCCTGCCAGGTGGTTGGAGCAACTAGCACAAAGCCAGAGGTTCCTCTTGAAATGGGTTGCACATGTTACCTTTCAGTTGGCTGCATCGTCTCCATGCCGATTTGCGACTTTTTTTGCTTCTGACTATGTTCAAGAGCTGAAACCTCCTCAGGTGCATCTTTTTTTCTAGGATCAAAAAGTGCAAAAACATTCTTTGTTTATACTTATAAACACATGCTATGCGAGTTTATCAACCTTTCTAAGAATTGTTTAACAAATTTGATAAAAGTTTAACTCTTAAGTCAATTTTTAAATATGCTCTGAACAGTTCCCTTATCTTTCAGTCTTCAGAGTACGAAACTTACTTTTTTAATTTTTTCCTCTTTTTACTTGTTTCTTTGGTTTCTTCCGCGACCGCAGTGATATCTTCCATTTTCTCGTTAACACTTAAGAATAGGATGAAATTAGTATTTACGCAAAATGCTTACAAAAAGATACAGTTGTTTTTAAACATTTATTGGCTGTTGTACTCCTGAACGATGACAAATTAGTTGGAGAGATGAAAGATTTTTAGAAACAGTATATTTCTGATTATCTACTATCTCGCACAATTCCATGTTGTCGAGACAACAAAGCAAGCAGATCGAACATTTTACAGTAGGATTGCGAGTCAACAGCTTGCTTACTGAGAGTTCAATCTTATTTAAAAATACTTACAATTCCTCCAACTTTTCATCAACGGTGCACGTTTCTGCTGGAAGGACGCTTTCTGACTTTATTGTATCTTCCGTACCGTCCACATTTCTGGGTTTTAAAGGAACAAACCCTTAGTAAAAGCATTAAAATTAAAAAGGATACTTTATCATCTTTTCCCGTTTCTAATAGAGTAATTCTTAGTCTTTCCAGATCTGTCATTTTAAACTGAGTCCACTTCCTGCAATTACGTTTTATTTTAAAGGTTTATACAACATGTTTTCGGCTCGAGCTGTTAAATAGCGGATTGTGCTGTACTTAGGATATTTGGTGTTACGTATAAAAAGAAATCAGGCCGAAAATTTGCTGATCTTTTATCATTTGTGAAAATCCAATTTGCATCCTCTATCAGTGGGCTATATTCTACTGTTTCCATTTAAAAATACTCCCGACAGAATTTAGAATTATACTCCTCCCCAATACGAGGCATCTGAATATTTTCAGGTAAGCGTTATACTTAACAACAGCGCAAACGTTTGCAAAAAAACAATAAGACCTCTCAAAGTTTGATCATCAAATTAAAAAACTATTAGATGGTTGCTTCAAAAAAGCCGTACTGATGAAAAGCCATTTTTCCGTTAAACTCGCAATTGTTCCCGTTATCAGTTTTGCCTTCTATCTACGAATTACCGCGTGTTATATCACTATTTAGTCTAACGATGTTTTAAAAGTTCAATGAACTACATAAATGCCCGAAATATAGAGTACGTGACCTGTCTTATGAAACCTAATGACGGAGACTTATTTGGCATCTTTGGTGTCCTAAACGTCACGCATTTTGCTTGCTTATCCAACCTCTTCAAAGAAATGTCCTTGTTGTGCACAAATTGTGTTCACGTAAGTTTGTCAAGCATCATGTTCATAAATTTGGGCGAACATGGACGTCGCGATAAACTCGGGCAGTTTCCCATCCCAATACCTGTTATAGACTGCGGTTACGCATTTGAGTAATTTTTCTTTAAGAGGAGAGTACTTTATCCCTAGAAGTTTTGATAGACGAAAGTTGCCGGACTTAAAAATTGACTTTTGTTCAATGCTAATCGTGGGAGTCAACTTGATAACACAAAAGTAATTTTCGAAAAACCCGGCTGTTTTGTCAAACTTCAAAAGTCAGATTAACATATTCGTGCGATTTGGTGCTCTGAAGTGCGGCAATAACGCACGCAGGCAATCCTTCGTTTAAGTTGACTGAAACTGTTTTGTCGTTTAAAAAATTCCATTTGTTGTCACAGAAGTGACCATACCGAATAGTCATTTTCAGTTTTTAAAATATAAAAATTGCATTTTGTGCAGTCTAACTTCTACGCAAACCTAATTCGGAAATGGAACGAACAAGTCATTAACAGTGTCAGCAGATGGTAGAACGGAGTATAAGGGTGTGCAAAACAGTGTAAATGGCCACAATATTAATAAAAAGGCATGTTTTTACGTTCATAGTATAGAAATTGTAGTATTATTTAGGGACGTGAAAGAAACAGCCAAATGTCAAATTTCGTTCGGCCTCACTGCGCAGAAAAGCAAAGTAGTCAGAGATCCGTCAACGCAGTACAGTATTAAAGCTCTCCTTTAAGAAGTTACTTATTAGAAAAAGTTGTGTAGTTGATCTAAGGCATGTATGCTGCCGACTTTCGTTGTTGACGTTCATTTTATTCGACGGTGAGGTTTCCTGTTGGAGTGAGTCTTCAAATATGACCTAAACGACCTTCTACAGGACAAGGAACGCCTAAACACTCGCTAACTTGGTAAATGTCTTCAAGAAGTATTTCATTTTAAAGTTTTTGACAGATGCATGATATAAAATCTGTCCTTCATGGCGATCGGGGGAAGACATTGAAAATCATGAAGTATTCAGCGATAGTTCAAGGTCGAGTTGAAACTCAGCTTAATCCGGAACAAACGAAAAGTGCAAAATAAGTTAACAAAAGAAACGCCCTCTATACAAACACAAAATGGTAGGTTTTTGGTTACGCTAGTGAATTTTACTTAATTTTTTCAGTCACCGATCGGCCTGTTAGAATGTGACCCTGTGGAAGATTTTGTTCCTATGACGCTTCTATCGGTGAAACCAAGTAAAATCCCGTTTCTCTTGTTGAACCACATCCAAATCAAATAAACGGATCAGGACCCCCATGGATACCCAAAAACCTGTTTTGGAATCTTTAGTCAGACTGACGGCTGTTGGCAAACCACCATGCCTGAAATTACTAATACTCAAAGGACATCTAGATGCAAACTTCAATTAAACACATTATTTTTGAATGTTATTCCATTTTCGCTCTTCTATTTACCCAGGTTTTTGCGTGAGAAGAAAGTTATTCATCGAAAGACAAAGTTTGATATGTTGCAACCATTTTTTGGCGTTTTCAGGATTTTGCGATATTTTTTAAAAATTAGCATTTCGAAGCAAATCAACACTGCCCTCAGTATTTCTTTTTTGTTTTTAATGCATTTAAGTTATGTTTATATAAAATAACTATTGGATTCATGAATTGGTGTCTGTCTGCGCGTAGTTGGCACTCATTCGTAAATTTCGTCACTTTTCTTGGGTTAGGTTACCAACTGTATATCAATGTTTGTTACTGTGCTACTGCTCAATCACTTGGTTGAGTGTTTTTGAGATATTAAAGTACAACATACAAAACGCCTATGGTTTGTCCAAATCGTTACCGACTAAACGTTTGCCAGGTTAAGATCCGTATTCCTATACAAATTCAGGAAAATTGTTGATTTCCAATAAAAGACGGAGTTCAGGAAAATTGACTTAAATGTATAGTTATTGGAAATTGCTTACATTTGGTCGCATACTGGCTCTTGTGCCGAGTTTGCCCGTTCTTCCAAATCTTGTTTGATTGCGGAAACGAATGCTATAATTCCTCGACAAAATACTTTCCCTATTCGTAAGGCAATTTTAAACAGCGTGCTGGCAAATTTCCAGATGTATCTCGAATATCTGAAAAAAAAGAAATTATAATTTTAAAGAGTATCAGCACGAAATTCGAATTTCGAATCGCATTGGTGAACACATTATGAATGTATTATAATAGTTGTTAACTAGTTAATAACTGTAAATAGGTTATTGCTTACACAATAAACAATTGAAAATGCCACATTTAGGAGCTCCTAAATAAATACACAGGCATTTTAAAGGGAGGTGTCCTATCCGCAAAATGCTGAGATGGTTTACAAGAAATACTTGTAACTTAAAACATGCCTAGTCAAAATAATCGTGTTTTCTTCGGCTTTAAGTTTATTTTTAAAGGCAGGCACTGCATCTTGTCACCAACGAATGTAGCTTAGCTGTTTTATTTCTTGCTGTTAGTAAAAATCAAGATGGCAAAGTTAATCGTCAGGCATGGTTAAGCTGCAAAGTCGCTGGCTTTTCTGCGATTTTACGACAGTTCAAATAAATAAAATTTTATTTCGAAGCGCAATATGCTGTTAACGGTATCCGCAAATGTTCGACCTAAATTAATTCCTTTATAAAAAAATATTAAATGACGACATTAAAATTCGACAAAAGATAAAAGCATTGAGTTCTGTCTCTACGTTAATTCGTAATGCTCGCCGTCGAATTATTTTGAGAAAGTCTTCATTTCATAACATACTCAGTCATGATGTCAGCAAAGTTTGTCCTTGTCGAACTTGTGGCAGATAATTGGCGTGACAGTTACCGTGGCCATTTGGCTCACTAAAACGCCATCGTCAACTTGGCGAACACGCCTACATGCTTTTCTTAGAACAACTTTTTGTTCTAACTCGTTTATTTGAATAAGTTGTAATCAGCTTGACAAAATGTGTGTTATGAGCCAAGCTTAAATCAAACGCTAGTGGGTGCCCATCTTACTAATCTGATAGGTGCTTACCGAGGAATATATAGTAAAAGGCCTGCTGCTCTTTGAGCAGATAACTTGTAGCAAAGACCAAATTTGCCTTTCAGTATGCACCGCGACCAAAATTTAGAGCATCGATAAAGGCCAAAAGTGCTGCCGAATGGGTTTGATTGTTCGGGTAAAGCGGTTCGTTTTCATGTCATTTGGAGAAATCCCGGGCCTTTACAAATAATCTCTTTTGATAGATCCAGGCGAAATTAAATTTCTGGGGAGAAAGCCGTCGTCCACTGCCGTGGGATGGCACTAGTGGGGGAAGCGAGGGAGACCCAAAATAATGGATATGGAATGTTTAAATGGTCAGGTGCCTAACGACGCTGTTCGAATATGATGATGTAGTAAAAATGTAGGGCACCGTATGGCGCAGATATCCATGATAACCACATTCATATATCTTATCAGTTTTCGAGCACTAAGTCCTGCGGCCTTACTCTTAAAACAATAGTATGATAAAGGTGGCTGATAAACTGAAGTGGAAGAATTAAGGTGTTGGTTAATTCTTTAAATGCTTCCTTTAAGCTTATCGGAAAAGTACTTACAATTACGTGTGATCAATCCAGGAGACAGTACCTAACATATAATTGCGGTTTCCTTTGTATATTCTCAAATTTTGAGAGGGGAGTGTGCGTTTTATCTAGGTTCGTTTAATTCCAACGAGCTGAACGGAACTGAAGAAGACAGAGGGGCAAATGGCTTAGAAATAAGGGAAGGGTAGATAATACAGATCGAACGATCGTTCCTCCGGTAGACGGCTCTTTAAATGAGGGCTGGTCTCCACCGAAAAGATGAGTGCTAAGGGCGGTGCACCCAAATTTACAGTGCCTGTTTGGTAAAGTGAATGGATTCAAAACTTTGGTTGATGAGCACACAGCAGATGTCATCGTCCTCACAGAAACATGGCTTTCTGAAGCTAGTGACAACATGAGACATCCCTCAGAAGTTATCAACTGTATGGAAGAGACAGGGAACTTGGACGAGCTGGAGTTGTTGTCTATGTCATCTGTAATTTAATCTGTTTGTCTGAGCAACATCTCACTCCAGTGGGACTAGAATTTTTATTTCTATCTCCGTAGGCCATGTCCGGCCGCCGGCATTTGCAGTCGCATATCGTTCTCAAATCAGACCGTTGAACACGATGACTTCCTCTAACAAAACTGGACAAGACCTGCTTGAACAGGGATCTCCTTATCCACTTTGACCCAGATGTGAAAACCTCGACTCTTCGGTGGGATTCGAACCCACGACATCCAACACTCTAACCATTTGAGCTACGAGGCCCCTCCGAACGAGGCGAGTTTAGTAATATTTGTGTCAAATTACCCGCACTTGTTGCCTTGGGTTCGAAGCCTAGCGAGGCACCGTGTTTTTCACAGTTGGGTCAAAGTGAATGATTTGAATTTTGCCAGAACACCTCTAAGGTATCCTTATAGTTGGAAACTTTAACGTTCTCAATATGGACTGGCAAAATTTGACTGTTTTGTGCCCGTTGGCTGTAGTTGGTCATTATGTGTTCGGAATGAAAACATAAAAACTACCCCTCCAGAATGTGACTCTCGGAACAGGCGTCAGAGAGGGGCAGGACTTAAACTGCCCAGGCCCTGTCTTAAACCGAGTCGGGGAGAGTTTGCTGGATCTATGAGATCATCCACTAATGGGTGTTAGTGAGCATACTGTAATGTTCTCCGGATATCCCATGTCCTCCCAGTCAGACACACCTAACCAATTTGAAACAATCGTCTGGAAATGAAATTATTCCAGCACGCGAACGCAAATTTCCCTAGTACCATGGGCAACCAGGTTTCGGGGAACACTTAATGAGTACTGGAATACGTTCAGACCTTTAGCTAAAAGAAGCCACTGCCCACTCAGACGAAGGAAAACAAGCGATCCTCCGATGCGGACAAACCGGGAAATTTCGATCGCCGTTAAAAGAAGAAATAAGGTGTGGAAAAGTTCTCGACTGACAAGGAATATCGGACGCATGCATACCAGTATCCCATACGTCTGATGCTAAAGGCAAAGTATATCGTGACTTGATTCCGGCGCTGAGGTCCTAAACCGATTTCTCACGACGGATGGCCAAGCAAAAGCAACAGGCCTCTCTAGCTCCTTTTATGTATCAAATACTCTTCATTCCCCTACCCAGAAAAACAACAGAGTTCCGCACCGTTTGCATTAGAAGATATTATTTACTTTTTTACAACGTTATGGGCAGAATTACTCCAAATAAAACCTGCCCAGCCACCCGATCGAGATTCTCGCCTTTCGAGCGTCAGTTGACATCCAGAGCAAGCGGTTGCGTATAATATTTCAAAAGTCTTCGGAAGAAGGCGCATTCTGGAGGAATTGCAAACAGCCTTTGCCTTCCCGCTGCACAGAGGAAGGTTTGGACTTGTGTTTGAATATCGCCCTCACATTAGTTTAAGCTGTATTTTGTGCAAGATCATTGAATAACTTATAAAAAGACATTTAATGACCCATCAGGAGCATAGAAAGCTATTATTTACTGTCCTGTGCGGGTTTCGTCATGGTAACTCGTGTCTTGCGGGCAGTCTTTACTCGCGGGAAAAATAGACAAAAGCCACGTACCGAGGCCCTTCGGTAAATACCATTTTCCTCAAATATAAAAAGTTGTTTAATAGTGTGCCTCATTAGGTTTTCTATATAAGCTTTGACAATGTGGAATCCAATGCAGCATTTTCGAGTGTATTAAAAGTTTCCTATCATCCAGGCTGCAAGGAGCAAATGTTGGTACCATATCATCCGAATGGACATCGGTAGAAAGAGCTTCCCTTAAGGGTTTCATCTTAGGTCTTTTCCCCTTCCTCACCAATATAACTGATTGTACTGAAGACTTTGAACACGATACCTTCGTGTTTGAAGATGGTATAAAAATCTGAAAATAATAATCTGTGCTGCAGACACGCAGAAATTAGGATAAAACTTCAGTAAACTGGCTGCTTGGTCAAGCCTGTGGCTTCTGTCGTGTAGTCTTACGCCAGGGAGCTTGTGGGAGAAGTACACCAAGACGCCGTTATCGTATAAATGGGATTCCATCAAAGGAAGTGGATGCGTACAAAGACACAGGTATCTGGACAACTTCGAACATGCTGCCCTCCGAACACAGTAGAAGATCGGTTCAAAAATTAACGAGCATCTTACACTGGATTATGCGTGCTTTTATAGGCTTTTTCCTTAACTATTCGCGTGGATCTTTGTTGCGTTTATTAGATTGGATTTTGAATACGGAATGCCAGCATGGATGTTGTGGATTAAAAAAGACAATGACCTCCTCGAGCAGGTGCAACGATGGATGATAACGATGAATGACCTTCTTATGACTCTGTCATATCCGGAAAGACTGATCAAGCGCAGTATATTCCCCTTATCCCACAAACAAGTGAGGCGCAACCGGCTGTTGACATTCCGCACTAGCCGCAGGAACGACTGTTCGTTCACATCTGAGGATTTCTTCGAGCTTACGAAGATAACTTACTTCCGCGGTCATTTGCACAAGATCAAACACAAATGTACGCGCTTAGAACAACCGAAGTTTTCTTCCAGTTAGTGGGTCGTTCGACCGTGGAACTTACTCCCAAGCGAAATAGTGAATTCTGGTACTATGGCTGTATTCAGATGACAGTTATATTGTTTGGTTTTGAATAACCGATTATTCTTACTGCCAGCCTCCAGGGGTAGCTTGCAGATATGTAACGCATTACTGCACTTTTAATGCAAAAAGTTAGCGTGAACTTTACAAGTGATTATTTTATTTTGACTACCTGTACTTATTATCTTAACTGTACATGCATAGGGTCATATAGGGTTTCGCCCGTAACCCTCAAATATGTATATGCATATATACATACATACAAACCGAGGGGTTATACATGGCATCATGCGCTGGCCCAGGGCCTCAACGATTTGAATATGTACATCATTTAAATGGAACTCTGAAGAGTGTCTCATTTTTTGTGGCCGCACGTTTACTGTTAGCGAAAAAATTAATTACTTGCATTTCTGGGTAAGGCAGACCAGTTTTTTTACGACAACAGTCTCACCGGGTCTTCCGTCAATTCTTTTGTCATAAAATCTGTCTTGCACTTGAATTTGGTTACACTGAGTCTTATATGATTATAGAAATCCAGGTTGAAAGAATAAAATATACCTATGTTCTTCGAAAATTTTGTGGTTGGTATGACGCCTGGTGCAAATCTATTTTGGTTAACACTGAACCCCTCGCCCATGCAATCGGTTAAAGCCATTATTCGCATAAATGGGGGAGGAATGCACTTCATATTTAATTAATTTTCAGTTAAATTCCTGTCGACCATTATTTGTATTTAAGCCATCTTCCAGTCTTCGGCAGCAAGGAAAACCTGCCAAAGCCAAAGAAGTACGAAACGGCTTACTTGTAAAGTGTCGTTTTACATGGGATTGGGTTTTTTAATGTTAGAGTGAAAAATTGCCACTTTTACCTCTGGTGCGTCCACAGTGAGAAGCACACATAAAGATTTTTCACTAATACTGAAATATGTGAGCTTGGGAATAAGAAAAGAGTGATCGACTCTATTGAATGCTCTAATGAGGTCGAAATGAAGAGTACGAGCTGAAAAACTCTATTCCTTTTCTTGGGAACAGAAGTCGGGCAAATCCCGAGTGTACTTTAGAACGAGATTTAATGCGTTGGATTCGACGCTGTACATCACTCAGAATGTTATTACAGCAATGGTATAGTGCTCGTACCTTACCCAGGATATAGAATAAAAGTAGTGGAAAAGTTGCTAACAAAACGTTAACGTGCCAGCTTAGAAGGAGAACTTGGTGAACCTTTGTGGTTTGCTTAAACCAGGAACGTCATGAATGAAATTTGAAGTTTCTTGGATCGTAGGATCATCGTGTAAGCGTTCGATAAATGACATTTCCCGAGTCGCCGGCTCATAACGGTGTTCTACAGGCCCTCTTCTAAAACCGTTTCACTTCCTTATCTTCCTCGATGAATTTCCAGAGATACTTTCCGAAACCTGTCTGATGTTTCCAGAAACGGGTCCCAGAATAAATTTTTGGGATGCTATACGACAATTTTTTCAACCACAATCGAGATACTGCTCACCAATATCGCCTGTACACCTCGTGCATCTATTAAAAAGACTTAAGACAGAAGAATTGGCCTTCTTTGTTCCGTTTTCAATCTGCACCCGAAGGAAAAACTGAATGGTCTCCAACTACCCATGTCAAAGTAGATTTTACAGCGCAAGTAGCTTTTAGAAACTCACCAGGTAGTTGTTAGGATAAGTTAGCAGTCTTCAAGAGCATCACGCGTCGAGCTAGTGTAGTGATCCCTCCTCGATTGCGAGGGTCGCACTCCAGTACCCTTGCAAAAAGTGAAAATCTGCGAAGTAAAAACCATAGGTTTTATGGTCATTTTTATATATTTTAAATCCTCATAATCACTCCCACCTCCTCATAAACATTTCTCACACACTCATACATCATAAACCCTTCATGTGATCCGAGATATTAGGTCGGATTCGTTGAAGTTATATATGTAAGCTGAGTGTTTTCATACTACGCATAAACCAACTGCGGAAGCATGTACGGGAAATCCACAGAAATCCGCGAACCAGCGAAAAGTCTCCTCCTCCTCTTCCTCCCCCACCCGGATACAATGTTAAGACAGAGTTAAGAAGAGGGTGCAGGCGACTAGCACGACGAAATCCAGGCGTACCACCAGACCCCCTGGCCTACAATGTACACTATCCAGAATTTCATACCACGACAAAAATAGGGGGGATGGAAGGGATCCCAACTGGCGCGGCTTGAGCCTGCAAATGGGTGTGTCGCCACACCCCAAATGCTGGCATTTGTTGTGTGCACATTCCCAATAACGCCTGCCGGTCTCCCATCCAGCCCTTGTGTTGGACCAGAACATCTACCGCGTGACCCGTTTTAGGGGCAACGTCGACTACCACAAACCCTAGCAATGAGTGAGTGTCGCGTGCACTGTTGACTATAAACGACCTCGTTCAACGCTTACGGGGGAACCGCAGGCTAGGACTGATCTGCCACATGCTGCTTCAGGTCATTCACTGCTAAAATTCAAGTAACTCTTCTTGTTAGCTTATTCATAATAACGCGAAATGCAGTTGAATATATTCAGTAAATGTAGTCCTGTCCTACTGAATGAAGACGGAAAATCGCGGGTAAAAAGGCTGACAATTGTTCACCGTTCGACTGCACGCACGCAGAATGTATTAGTAGAGACAATTTGTCTATATTTTTTTCTTAATCAGGTTAGCTCTGAGATGGATATATGAGGCCGTGGTATATAGATTGTGGTAACAAAATTTTTACACAGAAAGCTTATTGAAGAAACTACGACACGAATGAAGTCTAACTACCATCATCACCTCGCGAATTCTATGCTTACAGGGTTTTCACTAAAGTTCTTTGGGTAGATGTCCGCACCTGGCGACGGTGTTTTCGCTATATTGATTTTCTTGGAATCCATTGGTTCAGCCTATGTTTGGCTATTTACTCCCAAAGGATACATTCGAAAGTATGCTGACCTTACTTATGTGTTTGGTGGCAGCGTACGCTATAGAGCCGCAGAAGCAGTAGCCGTGGAAACTTTATGCAGCAACATGGTCGCGACTAACTTCTACTGATAAGGTACAAAATGTAACCATAATGACGTACGGTTGCACAGACAAGATTTACTACATAAACGGTCTGTTTTTTTGTGGAAAATGCCCTGTTTAGAAGTGTGCGCGTTAATATAGGGTGCTATTATTGGGGCCTGCTTCTACAGGTACAGTTCTCGTAAGCATTATGAACGTCACTTAGCAATTGTAGGGGGCGCTCACCGATCGTTTTACGGAACTCACTTGTCCCGTTGTGTTTAAGGGCTTTCTCGCGAGCCCAACCAGCAGCCGCATAGTGACGCATGATAAAAGCAGAATAGCACTAGCGACAAAGACAAGAAAGACTGGAATGGCCGGCAACGGCTAATAAGCCAGAACTGACCATTTCAGTCTCCCTTGTCTTTGTCGCTAATGCTAATGGTGGTTTCTGAACACGCAAGTCAGAGTGTCCGCAGCCTGAAAAGAAAGTGGAAGCACCAGTATAAATTACACATGTATAATGAATATTACCCACTAGAAAATGTAGTCCATGAATAGGGCAAACTGTATCACATCAAGCGTAGGCGGGCTGTGGAAATGGCAAAGTTATCTGATTTCTAGCCAGTAACTACGCACTTGTAACAAAAACGCAGTCCCACATACGTACGCGGGAAAGCATCCGTTTTGCCTGTGCAGTTAGCATGCACTTGCACAACTGGAAATAAGAAGACTTTTTTCTTGATTTTTACGCTCAGAGAACCGGAGTGATCCCTATCCAGTAAAGGCGCTCCTCACGGGATATGATGTCGGAATGAGAGCATACCCTATCACAGCTTTGTCTTCATAAAAGGGCAGGTCAAATAACTCAATTCTGTCACTAGCTTCCCAACTGCTGCGATCACGGCATCGGTTTTTGGCGCGCTTTTCATAAGCCGGTTGTTTTGATTTCTCGGCGAGGTTTGGTCCTGAAGCCACACTTGAGTGATATCATATGGTTAGCTTCCTAAAATAATTTTAGTAGGTGCGACTACGTTGGCTTTACATATATCACGTGTTTGCGCCTTCTTTACTATTTTAATCCGGCGAGTGACTGTGCCATGGGGACAGAAGTGCTTATACGTCAGCCTCGGTTGCTTCAGTTATAAATTCACACGTGCTTCCCTGCCCGTGCTTCGAGTCCTGCTTGCACCCTCTTTATTTTCTTAGTCCAGCAAGTGGTAACTGAATTGTTCGGATGGTGTGGAACCCCGTCGGTCCCACTACAGTGGCCGTGCACTAAGAATTACCACGCAGTACCCTCTGTGACCTTCCAGTTGGGATTGCGCCCTCTTTACCCCCTTAAGTCAACGAGTGGCTGTGTCGGTGAGGTGGAGTGTGTACACGTCACCTTTACTCGCTTCCCTTATGCTCGCTTGGAGATTTGCCCGTAGTCTCTTTCCCTTCCTAATCCAGCGAGTGGCCAAGTTAGGTACGTTAAGTAAAATTGTTTTAGTAAGCCAACCATATGGTATCAATCAAGTGAGGCTGCAGAACCAAACCTCGCCGTTTTTTAATATTTCACGCTCTTTCCTGATAATATTTCTAACTACCTTCATGGACTTGTTAATCATCGCCTGAAACAGGCGCTTTCCACGATGGCAAGAAGGCTTCGACGCAGTGGAATGAAGAAGAAAGTGTCTGTGGCTTAACCCAGAGGAGTTCAAAGGGATTGAATTCTCGAGCTCGAAGAGGTTACGGAAACAGTTTCTTTTAAATGCCATTTTAAATGCTTTTATAAGTTCTGCTTTATGGTGCGGCGCAATGCGAGATGTCCATCTCCAGTTGCAACACCCCCTACTCTTTTGGAGTCATTTTTCTGCTGGAAGGTGGAAGGACGAGCTCACCCCCTTCGTTGTTTCATGTCCACCCCATGCGGATGCTTGCGGTGCCAACTCTTGAATCGCCAAAATTAACCTGCAGTATGTGCCGTGAGCTGGATGCACGCACAAGCCCCCCCCCCTCCCTCGTGTTCCCCCCTGTCCATTAACTAGACTGTAAGCCGGCTCAGATGGGCTACGGCATCGTTGCAAAGTGGATCGATAAGAGACGGCTTTCATCCCCAAGGCAATGCACTCAGTCTGATGTCAGCCGCTGATAGGCCCAACAGTACACAGCAGAGGCGACAAAAGTAACCAATGCCAAGAGTAGAGCTTCTCTACAACATGGACTGTGGTAGAAACTGCTGAAGTCACACGAATGTTCAGTTTCCGGGCTGTTGGGCGGAAAACCAGTCACTCGCAGCACAGTTCACTGCCTCCAATTACCCTCTCCCCCCTCTCCCCCCCTCCCCCGTTCCCAAACCCCTCTGATGTGTTAAGACGACCTTTAGTCGATATCTCCAATCGCCTCCACGAATGCCACACCCCCAGAATACTGAAGAAAACGCGTTTTTGGTCATGCCGCCTCGCTCGACTCTGGGATCATCGGCTGAATTGTGCGGACCGATGAGAGGAAGTCTGTTTGTAATTTCTGCCTGTAAGACCGGTAAGGGAACCTCTTCACCCACAAATCCATATTCTGCCTGAGCGGAAAGGTCAAGAAACCCCTTCATCTCCCTCCAACTTGTCTAAAGTCAAATGCAGAATTGACTGAAGGTCCTGGGTTCGTTTTGTGTTACAGGAAGAACAAGGATCCCATAACACTTTAGTTAGGATATCTTTTGGGGGAGACCGCTATCAGAATTGGCAAACTCATCTCCATTCTAAGGCGTCCTATCGTAGACTGTTACAACAACATGCGGTTCCTGTGTTAGTTTTGGCCCGTGTGGATCCATTAGGACGGGATCGCTGTCCGTTATGCCGGTGTTGTGTACGATCACCCTCAGCGAGGTCCCCGGCGGCCGATGGATTGGTCGAGCAGGGCCCACTGAGTGGTCACCTTGGCCCGCGACCCTACCCCCCTTGACTCCATCCTCTGGGCTACCTGAAATGCAGAGTTTACAAGGGGAGATTCAAATCAGCGATGCAACTGAAGCGGACTACCGTTCTGTGGGCGCAGCTACTTACTGCAGACACTTGGCGCCGCGTTCCCGAGGTCTGTTTGGAGAGGGTGTTACTCTGTAAACAGAACTGTGGAACATCTTTGGAACACATACATTGAAATAAGCTTTCCTTGTGTAATTTAGATTAAATTCCGTATTTCATGGTTAAGAGACATTTGAAAAGGATAGCGCTAAGAGACTACAAAACAGTCGCTTTCACACTAGCCTCCATCTTTTGCAATTACTTCATCAAACCTCCTTGGTACAGCTTTCGGTCAGATGTGGTTATGTAGCCCCACCTGAAGTTAACACACCCCAATCACCTGTGACGTAAGACCGGTGGTAATAGGGTTTTTTACAGGTGGGACCGGGGAATGCACAGGCGATGAGGTCAAATGGTTGTATGCAAAAGAAAAGCTATTGCGAATTTGCGGTTGCACTTTGAGGGTTGAGAAATAGTTGCCCTAACACCTAACCCTAACACCCAACTCTAACCCCTAACCCTAATCTCTAACGGTAACCCCTAACCCCTAGTATCAAAACCAACAGTATTGTGTCCACCAGGTGGGGCTACATAACCACATCTTACCCAGCTTTCATGACTTGTCCACCATCGGCTGTGGCAGCTACTTCCGCGTTAGAAACATCGTCCATGCGTTGTTTATGAGCCAAATCTAGTTTTATAGTTTTTTGTGATAAACATTGTTCCTAGTCATATACCCAATAGACTATTTGAATTTAAACATTGTATGTTTCTATGAGTGTCTCCGAAGCCTGCTTGAGGTAGCGACGGTGACAACCTCTAGCACTGACCTAAAACCCTCTCTGAAACATGGGCGTACTCACAGCAGCTCATGTGTTAACGCGGTACTGACATTCTTGGGGATGCTTATGCCTGCACTTTGTGAACACCGTTCGGTCATTGTTCTGGTCATTTACTGACGCAAACTTCGGCGCAGGACCTGTTTACTCCACATAGATTAACATTGTTTCGTAGTGGGAAGTAGTCAGGTAGAGCTCACTAGTTCGAGCTTCTTCAGTTCTACAAAAGAAGATAAGTGGGTATGCAGATGCTGCGCCGGGGGGGGATAGGGGAGGGCATGATTAGGTGTGCATCGCGGAGACTAGGCGCGTGTGACACGCACAGAAAATGCGCTCAATCCCGCCTCCGTTCGTCCTGGCTCGGTCTTGCCGTCGGGCCCATGAAGGTGGGGGAGGAGAGTGCGCGAAAGGTGCTGTGCAAGTCGCCGCCCTACTCCCACCTTGCTGTGAGGCAGAAGATTGACATCGCCGTTCGCGACGGTCGAACCGACCTTTCACAGTCATTAAGAAACAAATTTCTCCTTGTTTACTGCTTATGGGTATAGCAGTTAAGATAGCGGACGTACTGCATCCACCAAAATCTTCAAGTCAGGTTCCAGTCAACAGGAGAAGGTGGAAAGGCTAGAAGGGGAGGGAGGTAACCCCTTGAACTTCTTTCTCGGGCAGCAGTGGTCGCTGGCCAGTGTCCACGCCGTGTACTGACAGAATCAGATCTACGCAGTATGTTATTACCGACAAAGACAAGGGAGACCCAAATGGCCATTTCTGGCTTATTAGCTGTCATCAGTCAGTCATACCCAACCCCGAAGTGTGGAACAGTCGGGGCTCGAACTCGCGACCTGTTAGTTAGAAGTCCACGCCTCTTACCACTGGACCACGAGCCCGTTGCTCTGTCGGTTTTCGATCGGGAATATACAGTGGTAGGGGGCGCTCACCGATCGTTCTTACGGAACTCACTCGTTCCGTTGTGCCTTACGGGCTCTCTCTCTTTCTCTCGAATCAGATATTGTCTAGTCGAGAGAGTCTGGGCAATCGGCTCCTTCCAGAAGGTTGAGGAGGCGAGTTCAAGGGTCTTGTCTCCTGGTGAACCCCCAGGAGTCTTCTTCGATACCAGCAAAGATAATTGGAGAGACAGTAACGTCAGTAGCCGCAGGTTTATTTGCGTGAGAGCGGATGACCTTTGTGGACGACTGGCGGCGCCCTGATGGCTGTCAGATGTATGAGAAGGAGGCCGCGATTAGGACTTGAGCAGACCTCCGATGCTGACGGTCAGAACTTTGTAAATAATCGTCCTGTATTCATTTCCTGCTCACGATCTTTCTCCGAGGGAAGATGAGTGAGACCGGAATGACCATCCCTGACCCCGGTGGACAGTCGAGGATTTGAGTCGGGTTATTTGGACGACAAATTTTCAGATTCAGTGTTCTAATAAATGAGCTACACGGGAACATCCTACAATATGCTATCTGGAATACCCCAGGTCACGTTGCAGTGGCGTCGCACGGCGTTCCATGGGAAAACCAGGCCAGAGTGTTTTAGCCGAAAACCAGGGCAGTGAAACGTCCCTCCCCTGTGCGTTTTTCCTGTATGTTTTACGGAATGGGTCGATATCGTTGCGAAATCTACCACCAGGATTTATGCATTTCGCCCCTGTGAGTCCCCAAAAATGACAATAAATGTTTTAGGACTCGGAAATTTTCCGCTCTGTCTACCTGCACCCACATAAATAGCCCTAGTGAGGATTAAATTTGTTTTTTGCCCCGAATTCCCGTTCTCGTCAACTTTATCCGACAAAATGCATGCGGCATGCTACGAGTGGCATGATGCATAACCTCTATTCTCTACTAAGTAAATCCTTTAAAACTGAAAATTCGTAAATCAACTAAACTCTGATAGTGCTACCAAATCCTGACTCAAACTTTTTGTGCAGCATCCATATGCCTTAATTGCAATACTGCGTCTATAAATCACGTATTAAGTGATGTCGTCATGCGTCGAGCTCTTTCTGGCGATATCAACAGCACAAGAGCGTTTTTATCGATAAGAAAAACCTTGCTTGAATTGTTCTAGTCCCCTTTGACAGGAACGAGACTATCTTCAATTGAATGAACCACTGAAAAACTCGCAGGAACGCAAGTTGTTGTGAACCTCGTGCACAAAGAGTGAGTCACGGTGCAGGAGTCGAAAGCTAGTATGTACTGCTAGCACCACTTTTGTTTATGAATTAGAGCTACACCCTGTGTGATTCTGTATCCTTCCAACGACGTTGGGGGTCCTTGCATTTGGATGTGACCTTGAAAAAAACCATAAATACTCTACTGTTTGTGATGGCCGCCTTTTATTGCCAAATCACCCCCCCCCCCCTCCACAAAGGCTGCGTCGCTGTTGCGTTAGGCTAAGATATGAGGCACGGTGGCTTGTGGTATGCATTAGTCAGACTGTGCAGGGGCTGCGTAAATCCCTTGCTAGTCTCGTACGTGCCAATGCCGAAACACCCTGCATGCCACTTTCACTTATGTGAGATCAAGGACTCTCCGATTGGAACCCGGATCGTGCAGAGTGAAGGATCAGATCGCGTGTGGCAGGCGCGAAGGAGCTATTTGGTCTTATCAAACACTGTCCCCACGTCCATTTCCTGTCATTTTGGCCTTGTGGAATACGATGTGCATAAGAGAGGTAAAGAGAGGTAGATGCGTCGGGAGTCTGCTTCACTAGAAAAATACTCGCAACAAGTCACCAAAGCCCCTACGGACAATTCCGGATCTCGCTGGTCGAAATCTAACTGAATACGAGACGCTCTCCGCATGGAGATAACGTTTCACCCTATAGCCCATTCGCTGGCTTATCTAAAGAGTCAACCTCAATGCAGAAGTAACCAGGCTTCTAGAAGGAAAATCTGCAATCAGCGCACCCTTAAGCAACTATCAAGAGTTGTCTAACACCTGTTGTCTCTAAAACGACTTCTACATGACGCCGCTTTCACTCAGCCAAAATTTCCTTAGCTGATACCTAAATAAACCCGCAGAGGCCATTCAAAAATTCATCGTTCATCACTTTTAAAAAATGCTGTTGCGGGAAGGAATGGGGTATTCTATCTTGCCTAGCACTCTGGTCTTGAACCCTTGCGGATGGGGATATTAAAACAACCGATCGATAATCGTGCCTACCGTTTTCACGCCCAACTCACAAGGACGGATAATGCTATGCTAAGGTGTGTTGTGGTAGGGTGCGCATACCCGATCTACGTAAATTAATGCTCACTGTCCCACAGCATAAGCTGTCCAAATAAGTTTATTGGCTTTTCAAATCGGGAATAAAAATGACGAAACATTGTTCTTAGTGGGAACCTTATGCTTGATGGTCAAACACTTACATGATATCAATGGCTGGCATAACTGCTATGCAACGATCTGCACGTTTTTTTCAAACGTCTATCTGTAAATAAGGTTTTCCAAGGCTCTCCCTCTATCCCTCGTATATACGGAATTATAAATACACAATTTTCCTTTGATAAAATTGACCGAATTGCCTTCAGAGCTGCAAAAATCGTTTACGTGGATGACATTATGCGCATAAAGTAATCTGGTCCTCGATTACCTCCGGACGCATTGCTCTCCCGTACCGCCTTTTGTGCGTTTAACTACCTATTGTGCTTTACTAGTTGTACCTACTACAATTGACAACTCTGTTCCAAAGCAGGAGAAAGATCGGCGGATAGCAGGCGTTATTTGAAGTGCGGGCCGGCAACAAATACCACACATGGGGTGTGACGACACGCCTAGTCGCAGGATCACGTCGCGCCAACCGCCTCCATCCAATTCCCACATCAGATGACTGACTGGCTCGAACAGCGGACTGGTGCCTGGGCGAGGGCAGAGAGAGAGAGAGAGAGTGAGGCTGACTTTGGGGCCTTCGTCCTCATGGTATTCAACGCACATTCCTCACCATAAACAATCTAACGCGCTTCTAGACCATCACGCTGCGCTAAAAGCCGTGGCTGGGAGGGCTGCAAACTGGCGGAATGACTCATTCCTCCTCTCAGGACGGAATGTCTGACTGCAATGGCTCAGTATCAATGTAGCCTCCGTGACATTCCCACTCAGGTGGGATCCCAGCCCACTGGTTTCTGTGAAACTCTGGTCCTTTGGGCATGGACCAAGCCCGTGTGTGATACGCGCAGACGGGCCGTCTAGCTTTGCCAGCCAGTGCGTCCGATCCCGTCTCCGGTCTTTTTGACTCTGTCTTGATACCGGGCCCAGGAGGGTGAAGGGGGGTTCTTCAGTCGCTGAGAAAGCCTACTGTCACCATAAACAAGTTTACGCGCAAGTCACCGCCCCTGCGCCTACCCTGCAGTGGAGCACGCGGAGGCCGCCACAGTTAGTGACGGTCGGAATGCCGCTCTACTAGTTTCCGTCGACACTCATTAGAAGAGGTCAGACTTCGTTCCGTTCTTGTTGCGCTGTCTCCTTATTTTCCCCCCTTTTCAATAGGCCATCGATGGATGCCTGTTTCATTTTCAATAGTTACATGTGCAGTTATACACGCTCTTCAGTCCAGCAAATGTGACCTATCTTATTTTTTCCCACGCATGACTACTCTTCTAGTCCGGAGGGTAATTCATGCCTGCCCTCTCCACTATGTCACTTTTCCCACTTTTCCGTTTTGGCTTATAAACGGAAGCTCCATTGCGGAGGCGGCTCCGAAGACCAGCTTCGCTTGAACGCCCATTGGCTGTAGTCAGCCAGTCATATTCCAACAGTAGGGCGCAAGGTCCTGCTCTCCCACGATTATGCTATCGTCTGCAAAGACTATCGATCGGTGTTCAGGCGCAAAACGGAACACGCGTACCGCGTCTCCGAATCAGTCTAACTGGGTGGTCACCCGCCCTGTGACTCGAATGTTTAGTTGGGGGCGTTTCAGACCTGAGGTAGTGAGGACAAAATTGATTTGTAGACGGACCACCTTGCTAGGGAAGGTATCGAAACGTACTGTGTGCTGCAAATCAGAATAGCACGAGGAACCACTTACCTTTCTCTTCGCTGACTAGGCATAAGTACTGAGTCACAGCAAAATTGGAACTACTAAAACTCGGGTTACTCTGGGGAACTACTTTTTAGACCGTTAACTCCTCTCTCTCTCTCTCTCTCTCTCTCTCTCTCTCTCTCTCTCTCTCTCTCTCTCTCTCTCTCTCTCTCGTCCTCCAGCCTCAGCAAAATTTGTCCAGCCAGGTCTGTATTCTCTGAAATTTCCATTAGTAGGTCAGTACTTGTAGTCGCCTCCTCATTGCCCATATGCCCTCGCACCTAACTGTACCGTGTAGCCCTCCCTCCCCCCCCCACACTACCTAACTTCTACTAGCACCTTTGATATGTAACAACTGCACTTCCATCTCTGACTAACCCGAGTTGCTATAGGTCGTCGTAGTGCACGTGCGCGAGTAAGCTGCGTGTATGCCAAGGTAAACTTCGCGAGCGCCGGCCTACTGTTGCTAGTCATTCTCGGTCATTTTTGCGCGCCACCTGATCACGCACACAAGAGTTCGACTCTCGTGACCGACGATGTCCACCGTATGCCCCACAGCAGGGTGAGGGCAGGGACGGTGACTTGCGTGTGAGTTGGTTTAAAGTGATAGTAGACTTGTGCTGCATCTACCGCACTCCTCTCTTCCTCCCTCGTCTCGACCCGGTGTAGAAGCAGAGTCAAGAAGACCGGGGGGCTGGGGAGAAGGCGCGGCCGAGTCCGCATCTTGGCGCTCAACGTCACAACCCCTGGTCCATACAACAAGAAAGGGGGCGGCACGGATCCCACGGGGTGGGAGTGCCGTAGAGGAGGAGCCCTTGTAGCCTAACTCTCAGTCCACCAGTCAGCCACTCAACACACAAAAACACACAGCTGGGCTGACTATATGGTTTGAGTTGAGGCGTCAGCTGGAAACCTCTTAAGCCACGACTTTTAACGCACCGTGATAGTCTCAAGCGCGTCAGACTGTTTATAGTGAAGAATTATGCGCCGAGACCGTCTACTTCATTCACTATACTCTATCCCATGTCCCAGTGGACTTTCCGGGCCAGTCAACTAACTGGTGTTAAGATTAGGAAATAAGGCTGACGGAACTACCGACAGCCTGTTTACGCTTGCCACATATACGGTCTGCCCCCCCCCCCCCTTCCCCTAAGAACACACCAGGATTCCACACCCAAGGGCGTGAATCGCTCGGATCTCCCATGCAGCAGAGCGGCCAGAGAGCATGCATCCCACTTGCGTGAGAGGTGCCGGTGGGGTGGGATGTTGCAGGTTCTCATTATTCATGATGTATGTTTTTATGTGGGGGTGTGTGATGATGTGGTTCATGTCTCCGGTGATTTACCGCAGGTTTTCATGAATGCGCATGTGATCAAATAGGTCTATGCAGTGGCCGAATGTGTGAGAACAATCCGGAAAGTTGAGGTGACGGAGTCCGGTGTATGTTGGTGCTCCATGCATTGCTGTGCCAGTGTCTGTGGGATACATTCGCAAATAGCTGGCCAGCCCGATGTATAAGGCAGTTGTGAGATCGCAATGAGGACAGGTTGCGACCGAGTCCACTTCGCTTCTGGTGATGGTTGATGGGTCGTCGGAAGCGTTTTGGTCGGTGGCGTGAATTGGAACTGTGGTGGTAGTCGTCGCCGCCCCAGAGGTTGCGGCAATGATGATTAAAATGGCGGTGATCAACGGCGGTCGTCGTAGTGGACGTCGTGGGGGTTGGAGAAGGGGTAGTCGAGGAGGAAGCAGCTGAGACTGTCGGATGTTGGTGCATTGGGTCTGGAGATGTCTGACGAGGCCGATCCGCGCGCCGGATGTCCCTTGACAGGGCAGACATATTGGAAAGGGTTGGAGATTGGCGTTCCGAGTCAGGAACCCCTGAGACTTGCGAGGTTTTCCCTTGGCTTTGACAGCGGTGATCCGGTTGACTGCATAGATGGTCACTCCAGTCTTCATTGCTCTTCCCCAGGCCGGTCGGTTCTGTGTGCGGTCTTCCCAAGTCCTCACGTTGATTTATGATCGTTTCGAGGTGTCCTTATAGCAGTTTGGTTGGCCTCCTTGTCAGCGAGCACCCATGGCGATATCTTCGTAGAAGAGTTGTTTTGGTAGTCTCTCCTCGTCCATCCTACTAGATGGCCGCTCCATAGTAGTTGTAGTTACCTCAGCACAGCGTGGAAGCTGAGGATTTCAGTCCGTTCTAGAACTCCTGTATCGGGGATTCTGTCCTTCCACCTCTGCTTTAGCATTCGCAAGAAACAACTGAAATGAAAGTGATTGAGCATGATTGCTGGTTTTCTATAAACTATCCAACCGGCAGTGTCGTCAAGATGACAAGCTTGTACATCTTGCCTTTGGTGTTGAGGTGGAGAACGTGGCGATTCCATAAGGAGTTGCGCAGCCGACCACTTCATCACCGCCTTTGATGCAGCGTGAGAGTGTGCTGCCCAAGTAGGCAAAGTTGTCCACGTCTTTCACTTGAGCGCGTTTACGTTGGTCTGTGGAACATCGTATGCAGCGGCTGATGCATGACCACCGTTCTTCCGCGTTGATGGTCAGTCCGAAGTTTGCGCAGCCGGAAGCGAAAAGGTTCGTTCTCTGACGCGTGTCTGCCTCTGTCCCGCCGTTGGGCGCGCAGTCGTCCACTAAGAGTGGGTCATGAACGGTGGTCGTGGAGAGAAGCGGTGAGGCCTGTATGCGCCGGCTGTTGAGAGGATTGCCGTCGGTCCTGCAGGCGAAGCGGATTCCGGGGGGTTCATCACGGTAGGTACGTCCAGACCGAAGTTCTCGCAGGCGGCCGAGATGAGGTCCATGCTCCGTTGCATGTCCTCTTCCAATGTGATTTTTAGGGCGCAGTCGTCGGCGAAGAGAAGTTTGTGAACGGCGGTTGTAAATACGCGCGATTGTAAGTGCATCCGCCGTCGATTGAGGTGACCGTCCGTCATGTAGGCGATGCGGATCCCTGGGCGTTCATGACGGTAAGTGTCCATCAGCACAGCAGAGAACATGAGGCTTAAGAGGGTAGGAACGAGTACGCAGCCTTAATTCACTCCGTTTGTTACTGCAAATGCTTCTGAAACGGTCCCATTGTCCACTACACGCACCACCATCATCCCGTCGTGTAGTTGACGCTCCGTGTGTGTGAATCGTTCAGAACAGCCAAATTTCTGCATGGCTTTCACAGCCCACCGCGATTCACTGTGTCTAGAGCTTTCGTCAGGTATGCGAAAGCAGTGTAGAGGTTGGTCTGCGTTGTCTGGCATATCTCTTGCAGCTGGTGCGCAGCGATTGTCGGCGGTCCCGTGGTGACGTCAAAGACCACACTGGCTTTCCGATAGAAGTCCCTGCTCGAGATGGCTGTTGAGACGTTTGAGGACGACGATAATTCGAGCCCCAC